CCGGGATTGAACCCGGGCCGCCGGCGTGCCAGTCGAGCACGTTACCTCTAGGACAACGCGCTCATTTAAAAATATAAACTCATTAGTGGTATATCTTCAACATATTAAATAATTTTTTCCATTGAAATTCCACAAGATGTGGTTTCCCCCTTCTGTACATGCTACAGTCGGCTAAATTTCAGTTAAATAAATGAAAAACAAAAAGCATTCATACCGCAGAAAATAAAATTCACCCCGTCGACTCGATGGACACCCCAGTATTGCAATAAAAACTTGGGTAATAAAAAAAAAACACCCCAGCATTGCGTGTGGCGCCCTCCCTTTTTTGGGGTACTACGATGTACTACACCCAGAACTGAGCCTCTACTTTAGTCAATCCTCTTTGGGAAATCCATCCATGAAGTTTTTCAAATGATAATGACACTTGCCCACGACAATGACGTGCAGGCGTATTTGCTCGAGAGAAAAAAGCATCTTCCAGGGATGGAGATTCCTGGATAAACACTGGAAACCGCTATCCACCACTTCCCAAGTAAGAGGGAATAAATCTAGGGAATACGAGGGTCGAAAATTGATCGGGTAAAATTATTTTTTTTTTCAATTTCAATATTTCTATCAGATCCTGAGGAATTTCCCAAATACTGTGCGAAATTTTCAACAACTCTTGAGAACTTGACTGGATAAAATAATTCCCAGGTTTTCCATGGAGCAGATTTACGAAGTGGTTGCTGACGTGGAGAACTACAAAAAATTCGTGCCCTTCTGCAAAAAATCGGATATCCTGTGGCGAGGAGAGGACGCATTGAACGCCAGTTTATCCATTGGATTTCCTCCCCTGAAGGAGAGTTACGTGTCAAAAGTAACGATGCACAAGCCTTACTTCGTAAAAGCTGAATGCACCGATGGAAAATTATTCAATCACCTGAACACATTATGGATCTTCAGTCCTGGCTTGAAAAACAATGCTGACACGTGTGTCATCGATTTTTCCCTGTCATTCGAGTTTAAATCACTTCTGCACTCTCAGTTATCAAATTTTTTCTTCAACGAGATCGTCAGGCAAATGGAGAACGCCTTCATCGATGAAGCCCACAGGAGATATGGAAGGCCCTGTATCAAGACTGTAAGGCTGGAGAGATAATACAAATATCTTGAGTTACCCCGACGGAAAATATCTTTGAAAAAATTCAATTGTGAGCCAATTTCGCGGATAATCTCTAATTTATACAAAGATGTCCCTTTTATCCAGGATTTTTTCCAGATATTAGTTTTATACGTGATTTTTTATGGGATTGGCCCTTTTGAATATATTTTTCAGAGTGTAAATTTTTCCTGTCGGATCATTAGTTTTCTTTAGAAAAATTGATCTTTCAATGCTGTGATGTTAAAAAAATAGTTACTACAGCCTCAGGCGTAGGGGGTGTAAATAAATGAATTTTAATTTATTGGGGTGTTGGTAGATTGACCAATTAGTAAATTTCCTAGAAAAACCTGAAATCAATGAAAAAATGTCGATTAAAAAAATGAATGCAAATGAGGGATTATTAATTTAATTAGTCTCATTCTTCGTTTTATTTTTATATTTTTTTCATTTTTCGTTATGCATTTTCCTAAAAAACTAGTAACACTTGACTGGAATTCCTTCAACACTCACTCAAACACTCACTCCTATTAATCTAGATCAAAGTACATAATCTCTCCAGTTTACGAGTGAAAATAATCATTGCATGATTTTTGAGTATGATTTTTTGTTAAACCTCTAATTGGCATTTTAATCACAAAGCTTGGATCATCTAGGCGTTATTTATACAAGGCGCCAAGCACTTTCTGTTTATCTGGAAATAAAATTCTCTCGAAATGTGAAAAACGTTGATCTCAATGCCGTACTAATTACGTTTACTTGAGCTTCAACCGCCTAGTGAAGATTCAGCTCGTCTTCTACAGGACTTATTTCATAGTAAAAAAGTAGATTGATGGAAAGAAAAATTTTGGGACGACGATTGAAAAAGCTCATCGCATTCTCTCTCAATTCTCTGAATCTCAAAGAAAAAATTACAAAAACATTCACTATAATAAGCTAGAGAACCTTGCACAGCAAAGTTTTCACACCGGGCAGGGAAAAATTCTCCAGAAAAATCCAGTGATTGAATAATTCAAGTGATTCAACTTGGAAAATTCAAAAAAAGGAATTTTTTATGGGACTATCAAGTGAATTAATTGGATAGAAAAATAAAAATCATCCTTTCGCACGATTTTCTCATTTATCCACGAAAAAAAAATTGCGAAACCGAGAAAAATTCCAGTGCAGATGAATTTTCCTCAGATTTTCCCGAAGATAAATTTTTTTTCCCCAATGAACAAGAATTTTTCTTCAGATATCATTCTCTACAAAATTTTCGCCGTCCACAAAAGTCAATGGACTACATAATTATTTAATCGTGGAGTGGCATAAATAATGTATTCTATTCTCTCATCCTACAGTATTGTCGTACGTCATAAAAGGGAGGTATCTATTTTTATTCGACTAAATTCAATTTCAATTTCTCATTCTGAGATAATTGTCATCCGCCAATGGCCAAAAGAATTATGAAAGCTCCCCAAAAATTATAAAAAATGAAGTCTCTCAATTTTTCTGTCCCAATCATTCCAGAAAACTTAAGTAAATACTATTCATCTCTTTGTACAAAACAAATGGAATGTTAAGATTAAAATAAATCATTGAAAAAGGGGAGAAGGAATTAAAGACACTCGTACAATCTATTTTTCTACCCTGTTGAACTATTCGCAGTACGAAATATTTGATTTAAAGTCACTCATTCCGACGATTAGCGTGCCATTTAATTTTAATCTATTTGCTGGTGTGAATAAAAAATAAATGGACTGAGGACTCTAGAAAATTGGTGACACCATTATTACAAAAACATTCGATGAAAATCCGATTCTCCATTCAAATTGACATTTCATTTGAAGGATTAGAGGTAGGACTAAGTATTAATGTTTCACCTTTGACTTCTCGATTAGGTGCAAAAACCATTTTTCACCGGTATTTAAATCTCCCTCGATTATTGGTCTAGTTTTAATTGTGAAAATTGAACGACTCGTTCCATTTGAGGAGTGAACTCAATTGGTCAATTTGTTTTTGAGCTCTTACTGTCGAGAAAAATTCTGAAATATGCGCTCTGTCCCATTTTTACAGAATTTCACAATGAAAAATCATTTGACAATTGTTCTTCACCGGTAATATTTCATTTATAAATAATATCTTCATTTCACTGGACTCTTAAAGGAATTAAAAATCACTGACCCCTGAAAATCTAGAAAACTCAGTCAAAATTATTCAACCCGAAATATTAAACATAAAATAATAATAAAAAAAAAGAGATAACCACCTGTCACACACGTCAAACAAGACAGAACAATGTACAATCTTAAAAAATTGCTCAATTCCCCTGTCTATTGCCAGGAAAACGGATTTCAATAAATTTAATATTAATTTTAAAGTCCCCGAAAAGGTTGAAAGATTTTTCAGAAAATGAATTGAAAATTTCCATTTTTTTTCTCCCCATTTCAATTATGAGCGGCTCTTTTTCCATTCATGTAGCCAATCCATCTCTCAGCAGTGATTCCAAAGACCTGATCACTGTCAACAGTACTAAGTAGCAATAGCTGATTGATATGAGTCGAATGATAATCCCACCTGGCAACATTGGGAGCAGTTTTGAGTGTGAAATGCCTGAGATCATAAGTAGTACCATAGCCAGTATCAAATAATGTGAGCATATTCTTCAATGAGAGCATGCCCTTATCAAAAAGTTCCTGAGCCTCAAGAGAATCCTTACCCGAGGCAATAGTCTTGAGATCATAAAGCCCAACAAGCGAGTATATGAATCCATTGAGAATAAAAGAAGAGGGTGTAGTGGGATATTCCTCATACCAAACAAATTTATCCAAAAACATCGCCTCCACTCCACCCCTGCTGGAAGCAATCCTGAAGGGTTTCAGGGCCCTGACAGCAGCCTGAAGATACCTCTCCTCACCAGAATGATAATAAGCCCTGGAGAGTACAGAAATTCCATGTCCCTGTCCCATGGCAGAGTACCATCCAGGATCCAGCGTACCCATGCCATTAGCTACTTTTCTCCTAACTGGATTAGCCCATCCTCCAGATGAGACATTCTGATTGGCCACAAACCACTTGGCAGAGTCATAAAACTGCTCCATATGTTCACTGGTTGAAAGACTGACATTATCAATCTTCCCAGAGCCATTCAAAATTATTTTTAAGAGCTTCAGCTTCGACCTCGACAGCTTCTTCGATTTTCCCTTGTCATTGAAGCTCAATCCTTTCTGCAGATCAACGACGAGATCTCTAGTGAGTCTTCTCCAGAGATTATTGGTGCTGCCAATGCCGTAGTAGATGTGATTATTGAGGGACTGGAGGGGAATATTCGTGGTGGTGTAGTGCAAATGGTAGAAGTCTCTCTTTTCTCGATGCTGCATGAGGACTGTGATGCTCCCATTGTCCTTGATGCTGAGGTCAAGCTTCAGGACGAACGACAGGACGTGGTCGAGGCTCAGGGATATACCTGAGGTGCTTGTCTCGGGGGAGGCGTATTTTAACACGTAGGAATTGGTCTGGACGTCGTAGGGACGTGACATCACTGAGCCCTGGGGAACCAGCCAGTCCTGTTTTATTTTATCACCGTCCTCGAGGATCTTCCGGTGGGGCTCGGGCTCTGTCAGATTTTTACTGTAATGGGATAAACCGAATTGTGCTATTTGCGTTGGGTAGTAGTAACCCTGGCTCTCCCATTGGGTTGACATTGGAACACCGTCGAGACCAGTCACGCATTTCACTCGCTCACGCACTTCTACGTTGTAATTCTCGAAGGTCATGAAGACACCTCGAGGATCATATCGACCCTTTGGTGAAACGATCTTCGAGTAACTGTGCAACCACTCGAAACGCTCCAAACCATCGTACGTCACCAATTTTCCGTATATCTCGAAGTACTTGTGGATGAAGGAAAAGGGAATGTAAACTTCATCTCCCTCACGACGACAACTTATCAAGTATCCACCATTGATATTGCAGTCTATTTCTTGATAGCCTGGCTCAACATTGGCAAGACGATCCCGGTGGTGGTGTCCACTCCTGAAGAAATACCCAGTGCCACATCCATTCCAGGACGTCAGAATCGAACTCAAAACGGCCACCACCAGAATAACCAGGATCGTCTTGAAGTTGATCCTCATCATCATGTAAAACCTGCAAAAAAAATACCCCAAATTAATAAAAAAAAAGCCTCAGAATGACAAACAGCTGTTCTCACATGGCAGTGGATGATGTCGTGGCAGTCTCCACTCGTCTCACATTTTCATTTTTCAAAGGACTCCATTAGTCCCTTGATAAAACGTTGATTCCTCCGTTTATCACCTCAACATCAACACAGCTGATCATCAAGTCAACGAACGAAAAGTCCACACATAGCTCTTCTAAAAAATTCGATGAAAACGCCCTCTGACAGCTGATTCTCCACTCTTTATTGTTCAATACGTCATTGCGACGCCAAACGTCAAAATATACTGTAGAGAAAATATTGAGCGGTTTTCAGGTGAAAATGCCACGACGTCTCATTGATTGTTGACTTGATATTTTTATCAACAACAATTGAATTTAGTCGTTTAATATTTCTTATCTCTAGGGCTTCGTACTGGATAACAATTCGAAGAGAATTAGCTGATTGCCATTAGTCATGGGGAATGCAGATACTAAACTCAATTTTCGGAAAGCTGTTGTCCAGCTGACAGCAAAAACTCAAGTAAGAAATTCTGGAAAAAGGTCCTTTATCAATGAATTCCTCAATTTTCCAAATACCCTAACCCGGAAATTAATTGTCTAGGTAATTGACGCGAGTGATGATAATTTTTGGGACCAATTCTGGTCCGAGAACGTCTCGAGTGTCCAAGACATCTTCACACTGATTCCAGCAGCTGAAATAAGAGTTCTGCGAGAAGAAGCACCAGCGAACCTAGCAACATTATGCTACAAAGCAGTGGAGAAGCTGGTGAAAGCCGTGGACAACAGCTGTAGAACCCAGAGAGAGCACCAGACAGTGCTCAACTGCTGCAGATTACTGACAAGACTGTTGCCTTATATTTTCGAGGATTCAGACTGGAAAAGCTTCTTCTGGTCGAGTCTGCCTGGAAAAGAGGAAGAGGACGAGAGTGTGCCACTGGCCCATTCATTACTCAATGCCATATGTGATCTACTTTTCTGTCCAGACTTTACTGTTGCCTCTGGACGTAAATCTGGACCTGACAAGGCAGAGGAGCTCCAGACAATCGACAGCTGCGAATACATCTGGGAGGCAGGAGTTGGTTTTGCCCATTCACCACCTCGCTATCCAGTCCTAGACTCCAACAGAACTGAACTTCTCAAGCTCCTTCTCACTTGTTTCAGCGAAACAATGTACAATCCACCCAGTGATCTATCGATAACCCCAAATCGATGGATCCAACATCTCACCAGTCCTGAGAATCGTCACGCATTGCCAATGTTCACATCATTATTGAATACCGTTTGTGCTTACAACCCAGTGGGATTTGGTGTACCCTACAATCACCTCCTCTTCACGGATTCCCTGGAGCCTCTCGTTGACATTGCCCTACAAATTTTAATCGTCACCCTGGACCACGACACGAGTGGAGATGCTGCTAACACCGAGGAGTCTGGAATAACTGGAGACAATTTATTCATAAATTATCTGAGCAGAATTCACAGAGACGAGGACTTCCAATTCGTTCTCAGAGGCATCACGAGACTCCTCAATAATCCCCTCACCCAAACGTACCTTCCAAACTCCACGAAAAAAGTTCATTTCCACCAAGAGCTACTGGTGTTCTTCTGGAAGATGTGCGATTATAACAAAAAATTTTTGTACTACGTCCTGAAGAGCTCTGACGTACTCGAAGTGCTTGTTCCTATTTTATATCATCTCAATGACTCGAGGGCTGACCAGTCTCGAGTTGGTTTGATGCATATCGGTGTTTTTATTCTTCTATTGCTCTCAGGAGAGAGAAATTTCGGTGTTAGATTGAATAAACCGTACACCGCAACTGTACCAATGGACATTCCAGTATTCACTGGCACCCATGCAGATCTTCTTGTCACAGTATTCCACAAGATCATTACAACTGGACACCAAAGACTTCAGCCACTCTTCGATTGTTTATTGACTATTCTCGTTAATGTATCGCCTTATTTGAAGACTCTGTCGATGGTGGCCAGTACTAAACTCCTTCATCTACTCGAGGCATTCAGTACACCCTGGTTTTTATTCTCCGCCCCAACGAATCATCATCTCGTTTTTTTTCTCCTTGAGATATTCAATAATATCATTCAGTATCAGTTCGATGGCAATAGTAATTTGGTCTACACGATTATTCGTAAGCGACAAGTGTTTCATGCTCTGGCGAATCTACCTATTGACTGCAGTACTATTGCTAAATCACTTAGTAAACGTCAGAGGAAGCAGATTCCATCCACCAGTGTCTCCACGGAGAATGTCAGTGAAGCTGCCATGGAGGGATCACATCCAGCACAACCAGCTGAGCCAGGAACTCTCAAGGCGACTCTTCTCGAAACACCTGGTATCGAAAATATGACTGAGAAAGAATCTGCACATCCTCTCAGTCCGTCTATTGATGTTGATATCAATAAATCTGGGGAAGCTAATGGGAGGGATGAAGAGGAAGTTGATGATAAATGCACCCAGAAATCTATTGTTCCTGTGAGTATTGAGAGAATTCTTCTGTTAAAAAAAAAATACTTTTGGGAGAGAGGATTGTGTTATTCTGTAATTAATTGGATAGATTGTTTAATTTTTTTTAATTGCAGAAAGGAGGAATTCGAGTGACTGACGAAGTCGTGAGTTCTAATAATCAGTGGGTACCCACAGGAGATTGGGTATATCAATGGAAATCAAAATTGCCTCTACAAACAATAATGAGATTACTTCAAGTACTAGTACCTCAAGTGGAGAAAATTTGTATTGACAAGTGAGTGATTTTTTTCAATTTTCCATGAGGTTTTAAATTTTTTAAACAATTTTTTTTGCGATTAAAAAATGTTTTTCCCATGATTTTCAATTTTCCCTGTCGATCTGTTGTGGAAATTATTGAAATCTCTTGTTATTGGGTTATTAATTGAATTAATTGTGAGGGAATAAAAAATGTTTCAGGGGTTTAACCGACGAAAGTGAAATTCTGAAATTCCTGCAGCATGGAACACTCGTCGGTCTTCTCCCGGTTCCTCATCCAATTTTAATTCGTCGATATCAGGCGAACGCTGGAACGACTGCTTGGTTTCGCACGTACATGTGGGGAGTAATTTATCTGAGAAATGTCGAGCCACCAATTTGGTACGACACAGACGTGAAATTATTTGAAATCCAAAGAGTCTAAAGAACTCAAGAATAACCACATATAAAAAAGGAGAAAAACTTTATTCGTTTGATGCATGAATCTGTACAGTTTTAAAAATGCAATTTAATCAATTAATCACCGCATAATAATTATAATAAATAAGAAATTGAATGGAGTGCTGGAATAAGAAAAAATTATCCCTTTTTTCCTGTTTCGTTGCACGGAGATGTCCTGAAGTGAAAATAACTTCAATGATTTTTAACAGATTATTTTGCAAATCTCTCTAGTAGATTCATGGAAAATAAGAGAATTTTAAATTATGGAATCCTCGAGATATTTTTTATGAAATCGATACATATTCGCTGAAGAATTTGTTGTTGTCCGGTTTGTTAGTGAATTTTAATCGATTGATTACAGTTGATTTAAAATTTTATTGCAGTTTAGATATCCTAGTAGAGAATTCTTCATTTGTAGAATTTTTTAATGAAATAATTGATTGGTAAATGAGAAACAATTTCGAGTGAGTGAATTTTCTCATTTTCAGTCCAGTTGCAGTAGCTTCAGTTAGGAATTTTAAATCCCAGTGGAAATTTTGTAGCTCTTCAAGAATATCTGGCGCAACTGAAGCTGATGCAACCCTTTGAGTATCTCTAAGGTAGTTGTACTGCCAAATTTTAGAGAAAACTCATCGGTATTTAATGGAAATTCAGAATTTGAGCTTAAATAAATGTTGAAATTTGTGCAATTGTAAAAAATAAAATTTACATATTTGTGGAATTCTTTGTGTTTGAAATTTCATTCCATTTGGCACCTACTCCCATCACAAATCCCGTTCAAATAGAAAATTACGAACGACGGAAAAAATATTTTCGTAAAAATATATAATAAACATTTTCTAGGCCATCAATAAATCCTCTCAAAATATAAAAACATTATGCAATTCCCTATTTTGTGCTGTAAATCATTGTATGTATAGAAGAATTATTGGTAGTACAACTACATCTCAAAATTTTTTTATCCAAAAAAATTGAAGCAAAAAAAAAATAAATAAAAAAGATCCACTATCATACTCCTCCCCACATGCTAAAATATCCACTCGTTCACATAATCAAAAAAATACGAATCTTCTCGTTTTAAATATTTCTCTCTTTTATAATCAAGTGAATTCTGTATTGAAGTGAAAAAAATAAAGTCGACCTGTCAATTTTTAAAGAATATTATTATTTCCACATTGTCCTAAAAAATCTTTGCTATCATTTTAATTCGTTGCAGATAATTTTTTTAGTTTTCAAAGAAGTCACTGAATTTTTATAAAATAATTTCGGGAAATAATAGAATTAATGGGAATCCACTTCAATACAGAATAATCATCTGAAATCACAATTATTCTGATGCACTGGGATTAGTGGTATGTCCAGTGGCTTTATCGTAAGAGGGTGGAGGTGCCTCAACATCCGGGGGTTCAGCTTGTGGAATGAGTATAGCAATGTGATAGGGTGGAGGTGATGGAGATATCGGTGGAGGTGTTGGGGCTGGCATTGGGACTCTGAGTGTTTGCACTTGGGGTCTTAGTTCTGAATTAACAGCGTAATAACACACGTGATGAGGACACACCTCTTGATGATTGTTCTGGTTTCTCTCGGCGTTTCTTGCACGTCGAGTCAGTGTAAAAAAACACCCAGACACTAGCAGAGTCACTAGGAGTCCGCAGAATATTAAAACATCGAGACCAGTATCTGGCTGAAATTCAAAATTATCATATTTCTTCATTCACCAGTATTAAACTTTACAAATATTGCATATTCTCCAGTAATATTTACAATTGCATAATTTATGATATTATTTATTGTTAAAATCCACTCTAAAAAATTTTTATCGGGTATTTATTTTTTTTTAGTAATCGATTTGGTATTTAAAATGGAAATTTTGAGGAGTACTTACTCTGTTGCCGAAATAAAATTTTGCAATTGACACAAAACCAGTGGCAAGTACGAAGGTGATCCATACACCACAACGAAGTCTATATCCCGCCAATTCGGCATCTCTCATTTCCGGAAATTCCAGAATCGCTCCATTGGCATTTGGATCGTTGGAGATAACCCTGCGAGAGTGAGTAGAAGCCGTCACAAGACTGTGAAAAAGATCATGAAATGTTAAAAAAACGAGATGCGCAGCAGCTGATGATTTTGGTGTTGAAAAGAAAAAAAATGGAGAGATGGAAAAGATGATTTCTTGATTTATCTTACTGTGAGATAGTATTTGTTTGTTGAGTACGTCGATTACTCCTTCCAGGTTCCTCAGTCCTCCTGGAGTGTCCGTGACATCGAACCTGTTCAATTCTCCGTTGATCTACAGTGCTGGAGGTGACAATCCAATTGGTGTTCGATCGATGAGGCGAAATCATGGATCCACCACCTAGGCAGTCTCTTCTCCCTCCTAGCTGTCCTGTTATTTAAAATTCAGGAGAATTCCAGGAGAGTAATAAAAATGGTGTTGAGGTAAATAAAAAGTACCTCGAGTCTTCAACAATGGTATGGAAGCCGGTATTGAAGATGCTGTGACTGCGGCAGCTGCTGCGTGATAATTTCCTCTTCTGCACCCCCCAATTACATGGGATCTCCCAGCAGGTTTATTAATCCAAAAATGCATCAGGTATCTGCAAACCCTCAGTTGAAAAATCACTCGAATTCCAGTGAAATCCTCAAATCCCTACCTTCAATCCTTCAGCCCCTCAGTCCAAACGAATTAAAAGGTCTGGAAGCTCTCCAGACCCATATCACAAGCTCATCAATAACCCCTGAGAAACCAATCATATTTTCCCCGAATGAGCCATCATTAATGGTCCAATGACACAAATGTTTGGAGTTTCCATCAATTTCAATCCATCGATGATCCCCAGAGCTCCCATAAGAATTCCCACGAATCCATCAGCATTACGACAAATCGCTGTTGATGGTATTAGCCTTTCTTTTTCCACTGCTTTTCCAGAATTTTTTCCACAGTTGTTGTGACAATTTTCGATATTCGGACAGGACACAAAGAATCACTAGCCATGAATGCTCCTGCGCCTTGCAACTGCATCCACTTCTGGTCCCCAGGAATCGAGATGTTACGATGAACTCATCACGTGATTTCAAATTTCCCACGCTAGATGGATCAAAATGTCGGCAATGAAGAGTTTTTCGGGGTGATTTTTTTTTCTCACCCTCATTACGAATCGCCGGTCCCTCCGTAACTCAGATCCGTTCACCTTTTCCTGGAATTTTCATTATTGCGTGAATGGTGAATTTTTTTTGAAAATTTTTCAAGGGGAAATTTTTGAAAAAATGAAAAAATTGAAAATCACTCCACGAGACACCCCCATTGCGTTTGGCGCCCTCCCTCTCTTGGGGTGCAATACTACGATGCCGCTGGGGTCACCCTAACCCCCAGAACTCAGCCTCTACTTCAGTCGATCCTTCGTATATCTTCGTATCGAGTCTGAAACAATCGATCTTCAGAGGATCGTTTGTTGCTGTCACTTTTTATCCTCTCTAACCTCCGCGCGTGGAAAACCCGTGAGCAAAATAAAAACCGAAATCTAAAGTCTAATAAATTAATTAAAAGCTGGTGGTGCTATTTTTTTTTTATCATGATGTCGCGATCGGTGAGAGCAGAGACTCGGAGTCGTGCCAAAGATGATATTAAACGGGTTATGCAGGTTGTCGACAAGGTTCGACACTGGTGAGCAACAATTAATTATTAATCCTCGTCTCCCTGAATTTATTTATTTACCCCGAGCATTGCACTTTGTAGGGAAAAAAAGTGGGTGACGATAGGAGAAACGACAATGAAAATATACAAATGGGTGCCCATTTCGACACTTGAACAGGTTTGTTTATCCAACAATTTTCAGTTTAAAAATGCCAAAGTGCTGTATCTAGAGAGTAATTTTATCATTAATTTATGCTTAAAAATGGAGAAACTGGGGAAGACCGATTCAATAATAATGAATTATTCCCCAGAAAAAAAAATCAAAGTCAATAGCGGAAAAGGAGAATGGCATACCTAGGAAAGGCATCGACTCCTCGAATTCAAATTTCGGGCTGACAGAAGACTCCAACACGTGTGAGTAGAGCGAAATCTGACAGAATTTTCCACCAGATGAATCGATTTTATCAAAATATTCTGTCATTTGTACTTCAGGTTTTTCCACCGTCAGTGACTCCCAGGGAATAACCGATTTTTCAGCGCATTTAAATTTTTCGGAAGACTCAAATTCACAAAACAGTGAACCAACGCCAAAAGTACTCAAGACTGACTGAGGGAATTTGTATAAATAACAGGATTCATAAGTAATATTAATTAAAATGCACATTGGAGTACACAATTTTATTCGTGACGAGTTGTATTGAAAAAACTGGCTGAATTTTCCAGACAACAATTTCCATCACTGAACCCAATGAAAGGGTTAACGAATCCCTGAAATTCCCCTGGAATTTATTTCCCCCAATCTCGCTGACACAATTAAATGGAAACCGCTATTTCCACTAACCAAATCCCTTCGATCTCAGTGGAAAATTTCCATTTCTCTTTTAAACCCCACCCTGGAAAATTCAACCAGGACTGAACCAGTGGAGCCTCCAGAAGCCGATGGACCGTATTGAATTCAGTTTAAAAAATCCAATCAGGATTTCTATTGAATCAACTTCACGAATTAGACTATCGTAAGAAAATAATAATGACAGTATATTCTTTTCATTCCCATTTATTTAAACTCATATCAGAACAGAGTAAAAAATAAAAATGTAAAAAGTAGTGGATCATTAATTTTTATTCTACCACGGGAGGACTTTGCCATCATGTTGGAGGAAGGCCCCGTTGTGAGTCTCATCGAGACCCTGAATTGTCCTGATCATGTCTGAGACTGAAGAATCGACGTCGAGGGGAGCATTGGCGCCCCCCATATCAGTCTTCACCCATCCAGGGTGCATGCAGGCCACAAGAATGCCATCATCCAGGAGGTCGATGCTCATGGACTTGGTTGCTGCATTGAGAGCAGTCTAAAATAAACAATCCTTTTAAACATTCACTTTAAAAAATAAAAACTACTGTACAAACCTTGCTGCATCGATAAGGATAAAATCCCCCCATGTTGTTGTCCTGGATGCTGCCTATTATCGAGGTCATGTTGATGACAGCAGCTCTTTGGACTCCCATCCCCTGTTTTCCACTCGCTGCTTTCTTCAGGAGTGGCAAGAACGCCTGGAATTCCCAAAATGTTGAACTCCTGGAGGAAAATTTCGACGAGAAAAAAAAATAAGGTCACCTTCGTCAGCATTATTGGCACGACAGTATTAACGAAGAACACTTCAGTCATCTGCTCCTCCTTCACCATCCCAATCCTCGCGTACTTCGTCGCAATCCCTGCATTGTTGAAGAGAACATTGAGACCAGCATCCCCAACTTTTTTCCCAACCAAATCAACAATCTCCGGGTATTTCTTCGTATCCTTCAGGTCTATCTCGATTATGTGAACGTTTTTGCATTTTTCAGCGATTTTTTTCAACTCCTGGGGAAGAATCGTCAAATAAATCCCATAATTCTATTTTTTTCTTCAGATTTTTCCAGATTTTTCCAGATTTTTATTCAAAACAGGTATTTACTCAGAAATCTATAATAAAATGGACTAAAAAAAATAAAAGAAAGAAATTGCCAATTAAAACGAAAAGAATCTCTGGAAAAATTCGGGAAATTTCAAATTTTAATTGATTTTTGCCCGCCAAAATGCCGAAAATTCTTGAAGATGGCAGCACCTCAAGGTCAATCCCCTGAAATGGTGGTGGAATACTTGAAAAGACAATCCTGAGACATAAACCCACCTCCCACACCGAGACACCGATAAATATTCCTCTATAAAAACTCCAGGAGAATTTCCACAGACTGAAATCATCACTGACTCCATCGACACCAGTGAACAAATCAAACATAAGATGGCACCAATCGGTGAGTAGAGTGTACCAAAACGCCCATGAATAATATCAATCCGATTACGTAAATTACCCGCAACAACAAAATCCCCTTCATAAATAATTACTTGTGCTCTGGCGATGTCCCGACAGGTTGCGAATATTTTGTCCGGTGGATTGGGCAGTTGCGTCAAGTGTTGAACAATTCCGAGACCCAATCCCCGATTGCACCCAGTGATCATAATCGACTTCATCTTGCCAAATGCCCCCCAGATGCCTGAAAAATTCCCTCACCCCCGAGAGATAAATTCCACTGACAATCCACGAAAAGATCAACACCCAAAGTGCAACGATAAAACGCAGTAAAACACTTTTACCACACGATAATAACACAAGCTCAAAAATTACGGTTTCTGCACCGTCATTACTTCAGTGACTCGGTGACGTCATCCCCTCGAGGGAAATTAATTAATTGCGATGGCGACTTGGCCGTTCACTTTCCGGGTATCGTCATTTCGAACGTGCGTTCGTCATTTTTCTGGATTGTTTATCGATGGAAAAACAAGTCGAGGAAATCTTTCCAGAATGACTAACAGAACTCTCGTGGCTTGTCTCTGCAGTGAGTTTCCTCCGTTCATCAGTGGATCATCAATGATCCCGCAATTAAAATCCCCCAAATTTCTCCCATTAAAACTAATAATTCATTGAAATTTTTCACGTGCGCGTAACCTGCAAACGTCAGCTGATGAATCCAATTCCCGGTTTATTTTCCACTTTATCCATTATCCTGGCATTATTATTCGCTGGTGCATCAGTTTATGTGGATGATGTGTCATTGATTTTATTTCCATCGATTTCAGGCGAGTCCAAGTACAATTACGACCTGGTGGTCATTGGAGGGGGCTCTGGTGGCCTCGCAGCTGCCAAGGAGGCTGTGGAGCTCGGGGCCAAGGTCGCTGTTTTTGATTATGTGACACCATCGCCTCAGGGTACCAAATGGGGACTGGGGGGCACTTGTGTCAATGTCGGATGCATTCCTAAGAAGCTGATGCATCAGGCTGCACTCCTCGGAGAGGCCATCCACGAGGCTACGGCTTTTGGATGGAAAATCGATGAACCCAAGGCCATTGCTAATGACTGGGCGACTCTCACAACAGCTGTGCAGAATCATGTTAAATCTGTTAACTGGGTCACCAGGGTAGAGCTCAGGAACAAGAAGGTCGAGTACATCAATGCCAATGGATACTTCAAGGATTCACACACTGTTGTTGGCATTGATAAAAATGGAAAGGAGAAGGAAGTCACTGCTGACAAGGTCATCATTGCCGTTGGGGGTAGACCCAGGTATCCGGATATTCCTGGGGCTCTCGAGTATGGGATCACTAGTGATGATATATTCAGCTTGAAAAGGGCTCCAGGGAAGACTCTCGTCGTTGGGGCAGGATGTGAGTAAATTTGTATGGGTAAATCCCATAGAAATGGCGAGAAAATGATTTTTCATGCCAATGAAAAGATTGCTGTATTTTTTTTTTCATTCCTGGAGGTGGAGACATTTTTCCAAATGTTTCCCTCGATTTTAAATGTCATCAATATCCAAAATTATGATCCTTTGTTTTTTTTTGTGGTGAATATTTTTGTGGAAGATTACATTCGTTTTATCAGGGACTGGGGGTAATTAGGGTGATTATCAGATAGTCGTTGATGAGTTTTTTTTATTGTGGTAATTCGTAGACATCGGCCTTGAATGCGCTGGCTTTCTTAATGGTCTCGGTTATGATGCAACGGTGATGGTGAGATCGATTGTTTTGCGAGGATTCGATCAGCAAATGGCGAATCTCGTGGCTGAGGAGATGGAGCAACGCGGTGTCCACTTTGTTCATCAAGCCAAACCGAAGGCCTTGGAGAAACAGGAAGATGGTAGACTGCTGGTTCATTGGGTTGACAAGGTGAATATTCAGGGACAAACGGCTCAGCAAAATCCCAGGGATTTATTTCCGATCATTCATTTTCAGAATCAAATCTTTTAATCAATTGACAATTAATTAATTTTATTTATTAATAGAATGGAGAGGTCCATCAGGATGTCTACGACACTGTACTATTCGCTATCGGTAGGCAGGCCTTGACCCCTCAATTAAAACTTGATAATGCAGGGGTAAAAGTTGTGCCTGACAGCCTGAAGATCGATGCCACAAACGAACAAACAAATGTCGATAATATTTACGCTGTTGGAGACGTGCTACATGTGAGTTACAATAAAAAAATATCTGGCCATCACTCGTAAAATTTTGAAATCCTTGGATGAGTATAATAAAAAAAAAAAATTGTACTCACTATTTCTTTCTGTCCTCGAAATTATTTTGGGAAATATTTGAGTGTTGATTTATAAATTGTATAGACTAATTTCGATAATTAACAATTTACTGTAAGCCTGGAAATTTAATTTATTTATAGAAACGACCGGAACTCACTCCAGTGGCGATTCACGCTGGAAAATTGCTGGCAAGACGACTTTTCGGTAATTCGGTTGAGAAAATGGACTACATCAACGTGGCGACGACTGTCTTCAGTCCCCTGGAGTACGGTTGCGTGGGAATTGGCGAGGAACAAGCACTTGCTAGCCACGGGGAGGAAAATGTCGAGGTTTATCATGCGTTCTATAAACCCACGGAGTTTTTCATTCCAGAAAAAAATATGTCACACTGCTACGTCAAGGTTGTGGCTCTCAAAGGCGGTGATCAGAGGATTCTGGGGATGCATTTCATCGGACCACATGCTGGGGAAGTCATCCAAGGATTTTCAGCGGCTATGAAGTAAGTGGAGTTTTATTCAAGAATGAATTTCTCATTTATGGAATGAAAATTACAAAGATTCAGGGGCTGAAGAGGCAAAGAATAATTGAAATAGAAAAATTATTATAGAGGAAATATAAATGGCCTTTTTTCTTCGCTCACAGGTGTAACATAACATTCCCCCAACTGAAAGCAACAGTCGGAATTCATCCAACCAGTGCCGAAGAATTCACCCGAGTTTTTATAACAAAAAGTTCAGGGATGGACCCAACCCCTCAGAGTTGCTGCAGCTAGGAAATTAATTTTTCTAATGAGTTAATAAATTCTTACGATTAAAACCGTCACAGAAGTATTGAAACGAAATTCTTTATTTTGTAAAATTAAAGATTTTGTCTTTCCTCTTTTTGTAGAATTTTCACAGGCTTGCTATTATATATTTTTTATATGTATTGCGTCTCTAGAAATGTACAATTGTGAGTTCGATAGGAGAAAAATGTAAAAGAAACCTTTGGAGGGGTGAAAAAATTTCTGATATCAGGAATATATGTCACCCTCTTGTATGAGAAATTTTTTTACTTTCTGTATTACTGTATCTTACACCTTTATTACAAATTCGAGGATAATAAAACCTAATGTCATTATAAATTTTACTGTTTATAATTGTTTAAAATTTAAATAGGTACTAGGATCCTTCAAATTACCGACGAATTGATGTCACAATTTTATTCCATTCACGAAATAAAAATCGAGTGATAAGAATAAACGTGAAATTGTGCTGGAGTACGAAATTGAGTTAATGAGAGAAATGATAACACTGCCAGCAGTGTAGATAGTATGTAACACAGTGCCAATGGAAAAAAAAAAACAAAAAGAGAAATATCGAGTGATCTAAAATATATAAATGCAAGTTCAATCGAGGGTCAATGTTAATACAATTTCCAAGAAAAAATAAGAACAAGTACAAACGAAAAAGCATTTTTCTATCCATTTCTTTCATTTCGTTATTCATATTTTCTTTTATACATGAGAATAAAACTAAAAACTCGTCTCAAATCTTGGCATAGTAAATTCTACAATCATTAATATTTACACGTATATACAAATATTCTGATTTGAGAGATATACATATGTATATTTAGTACGATGAAAAAATGGAATCGTTCAAATGAAATTTGTTCAACTAAGAGAAAAAAAAAAAAAAAAAATACGCGCATTGGTGAATCATCATGAATAGTGAAACAAAACGTGGATCAACGAGGAAAAAAAAATGGTGGATTATTAAATTTACTTAAACGATGGTTAAACATCAGTCAATGAAATCGTCATTTTTAAGTGTAGGATCCTCCTTACGACATTCAGGGCAGTACCACTTGCCCTTAGGTGGTACCATAATACCAACGCACTCAAAGTGAAACCACTCAATTTTACAATGATCACCATCACAGGCAATCATTTCCGAGACTTCGTCATAGGGACACTGACAGTAGCAGTAAAGATGCTTTTTATCACCAACAGCTGGTCCAGGTATCGTGATATTCTCCTCTCCCTTGACGTTGCCACCATCATTGGATGATTGGACAATCTCCGGTTCACCCTCAGATCCACTGGAATCGCTACTGGTGTCGACACCCCCTTCAGTATCTGTGACAGATGCACCAAGTGTACTGGGTGCTGATTCATTGTTATAAACCACTAAATTTGCCTGCTGTTCAGCATTATACCATTTTGATTGAAGTGGTGGGCCAAAATTTTGCTTGATCGTTATTGTTGGCACATACTGATGTCCCTGAGTCCCCTGCATCACACCAGAATTGCTATCTATTCTCCTCCACTTTGGATACTGATTGTGCTGCTCATCATCACTCGAATCACCATAGAATTTTTTTGGGATACGCTTTCTCTTCGATGATCTCTTGCTCTCGCTGCCAGGTGTTTCAGTTCCAGATGCACCCGATGCACCTGAGTAGCCAGATGCCTGACTCGGTCCCGTTGAATTATTCACGGAATATTCCGATTGTACTGGATTAACCGGCGGTACCATAGACGAGAGACGTATTTTCGAATGTTTCTGACGATTCATTGGCTTTGGAATGTTTATCTTAATGGGAGGTTCACCAGCTGTTACACCTGGATATTTCTGTCGTCTTCCCCTTGTACCTCGTGCGCCTCTCGCACCCCTCGCACCTCTCCTGCTCTCTGTTTTCTTCCTCTTCTTCACTTTGATCTTCTTTTTGCCACTCGTCTGACTCTGAAGGTCCAGAGCGTCGTCAAGGCTTCCATTTCTCAGGGTCGTTGATGCTGATGACTCTGGTGTAGCAACACTTGCCAGAAGCATCAGTTGATTTCTCTTCTCAGCCAGTAATTTATTCGCCAACTCCTGTGGATGCTCGTCGTAAAAATCCTCGTCTGTTTCAGTCTCATCTGTCTCCAGATCTGATTCCCTCATCACATTTGGTTTATCCACAGGTGGAACAGCCACTGGATAACCTGGGGCTTCCGACTGCTCCTGAACATCCACTGGCTCTTCAATCGTGTGAACATTTATCATCTCCTCGATTGGATTCACCTCGTTGACAATCTCTTCCTTCTCAACACTCTCTTTTGTGCGTTTATGCTGGCTCTTGCCCCTCTTTCTCTCCCTCTTTCGTGTCTCTGGCTGTTTCTTGGGTGAGGATTCAGACCCTGAGCTGTCAGAGTCCGATGAACTGCTCGAGGATGAGGATGAGTCCGATGAGGAACTGCTGCAGCTGCAATTGGTACCGCATGAACAACTGCTCGAGTCTGAGTCACTCGATGAATCACTCGACGACGAGTTGGTGTTTGTTTTTTTCTTCGGGGATTTATCCTTGCTCTCGACTTCACTCTCGACCACTGGTATCGATACCTCATTGACTTCGTTGATAGTTACTTCAGTGAGAAATGCCTGATCATTTTCATTGACACCTTCAGTTAAATTCACTCCATTCTCCCCTAGATCCACTGGTTTCGCTGAATTATCCGTTACCTCCGGCTCCTCCTCCATTTTCGAATCCCCATAGACAACACAGTAATCGTGATCAGCCGTTATTATCCCCAGGAGTTCTCTCTGCTTCGCCTCGATAATCTTCTCCTCACTCTTAGCTAATTCCTCGAGATTGGTCTCTGTTGTCGTGGCATAGGACTTGAAATTATCCCAGATACCATTCATTATGTCCACCTGTTGCTCCTGATGTTCATCGATCGGCTCTGATCCAGTGTTGACAGACACTGGATCATCAACAGGAGCGGGTTCCTCATTTTCCCCATGTTTAAAATCACTCTGATCCCCAGGTGAATCTTTCTCATCCATCTCCTCCTTCCTCTCCTCTTTTTCATCCTCAGTCTTCCCCACAGACGATTTTGCGTTATCCTCATCATCAGAATCACTGTCTGATGATAAATTGAGGGGTGGAAGATCGTAAACATCCACGACCTTTCGAACACTCTCAATGGCCTTCTGAGGCTCGACCTGACTCTCTGATACCCCTGTTGGACTGACACCTGGAGCATGACTCTGTCCAGCTAATGCCTGAATCTCGTCTCCTGATCCCTCGATAGGCTTCTGAAGATTCTCTGGTGATTCCTCCATTCCATTCGGCTCCCCATTACCTCCACAATCATTACCCTGGCTCTGTAAATTTTCTTGTGGCTCTGGTGGCCTGTGTACCTCCACCTCGTGCCTCGCCAACAACTTTCTGGAGATAAACCTCTCCTTGCAGTCCTCACAACCGTACGGCTCCTCCTTGGAGTGCAGCCTCTTGTGAACCTTCAAAGCAACAGCCCTGGAGAAACTCAAATTGCATTCTTCACATACAAAAGCACTGGGTGGAATGCAAAAGTGATAGATGTGTGGCCACTTCTTCTGGAGGCACTTCTTGCAGAGAACACTCTCAGTCCCATGCTTCCAGAACAAGTGCTTCGTGATATCTGGTTTATTTCTGTAAGCAATGCCACACCTGTAGCAGAGATGCTGGAGCTTGTGCTTCCACACGTGATTCGATAATTTCTGCTGATTTCCATTGAGCTCCAGACAAACATCACAGGCGTGATGACGTTTTCTCAAATGTACCATCAGTCTGAATGCCGATGGGAGAGGATCTGTCGTGCATATACAGCATCGATACTTAATACTTGGATTTGCTATTGAGGATGTCAGGGATTGGGTGGACATATCTGTCTCGGTTGTTGAGTAAATTCCCGGGCACAGGTGACACAGTAACTCACTGTAATTGTAAAATGTTGATTTACACATGATACATATGAGTATTGCCTTCTGATGCATCTTGCGATTGTGGAGGTAGAGGTCCTTGTGGATATGAGAGACAACACGACAATTGAAGCACTCGTACGTGCGAATTGTGGGTACATTGTAAGTGCCAATTTGGCTGTCGTAGCTGTCAGCATTGAGGTAGTGGCCGTCGAGATCATCGAGTGATTTTTTCATCCTATTTACGAATTGCTCTGGTTGAATTATTATTGCTGGATGCTGAGGCTGAAATCTGTGCTCTGCTAGCATGTGGAGGGCCAGTTGCCTGCCATTGACAGCGATATGTCTTGCATGATTGCAGTAGACGCACGTGGAACTGGCAGCCTCGATGCAGCCCTTCAACAACTCCACCACTTGCACACTCTCCAGGAGGCCATTGACATTTAAATCGATTGGAGGTACATCCTCACCAGCCAGTTGGATATTATCTCCACTGGATTGTTCAGGGCTGGTGAATTTTTCATCGTCATTTTCTGGAGTTTCAGTGGTGGTAGCTATCCCAGAATTGTCAGCCTCTGGTTCTCTCAATGGACTTTTATCACCTGAATCCTCTGGAGGTTCGAGCCTCTGGCTCTCCTCGAGAGCAACTGTCAACCTGTCGTTGTCCGAGTCACTCTCGTTGTTGTTGTCCTCTGATTCGTCAACTCCATTCATATTTGGAGTGCTCACAGAGTAGGAATTTTTATTTGTACAAATTTTAATCACCAGACTACCTTTGGTCCTATTAACTCGGCTGACTGACATTGGGGTTGACTCCAGCTTCTTCAAACTCTCATCGTAATTGTAGTCGTCAGCCTCCGAGGATGAGTCCTCTCTCTTGTCGTTGTCCTGTGGTGCCTCAGCCTCATTATAATCCTCAACCACTTGCTCTGTCAATCTCTCACATTCACTCACGTTCTCCACACCCAATTGCTCAGAACTGTCAGAATTATCAAGCCTCGAGACCCTCATTATCGTCTCCGTCACGGTGTCCCGACTGGTCCTAGTGTCCCCTCGATTATCACCATCAGCATCCTCTAATTTATCTCCAGACACAACAGCAACCTCTGGAGAAGGCCTCAAGGTCTCGGCAGTCTCCTCAATAGCCGTGGAAACCTCACTGATGGTCTCAGAGACAGTGTCCTTCGGTAAATTCTCCTCCACAGGTTTCTCAACGCTCTGGGCCACCTCTGGAGTACAACAATCACTGGGAATTTTCGATTCACTGGGGGCCGAGTCCCGAGACATCCTCTCTGTCCTCATGGTCATCTTCCTCTCGTAGAGTTGAGTTAGTTTTTTCTGATAGGACGTCAGCATGTGTTTCTCACTCCTCTTAATTCGATTGTTCTTAGTCCTGGGGATAATTCCCTTGGTGCTCTTCCCCCCAGTCTTGACAGGAGTATTTTCCACCTGTCGTTGACATCCCGGTGTGTGCTGACCACTCTGTCGACAAACAGAACACACCTCCTCCTCCTCCAGTGACGTATCCTCACTCGGCGATGGACAATAATGATTGTAAAAATTATCTGTCTCCGAGAATACTTTTTCACATGAGCAGCATATGAGATAGCACGAGCCCTTGAAGGCATTATAAAAATCCTCAACAGATGTAAATGGTGTTTCAGTGACATTGTGCTTGTTCTCGAGATGATGGGACAGTCTCTCAGCCTGTCCAAACATACCCAAGCAGAATAGGCAGATGTGACGCTTGTGTATTTCCCTCATGTGGAGAAATAAATTCCAATTCTCAAAGTAAGTTCCACAAGCTGCGCAGAGATACACTTTTCTCGTTATTCGGAAATTATTCGCTAATTTGGAGGTACTGGGGATATTTTCACTGGGTGGTGGGGCTGGTGGGGTCTCGGGTATTGTTAATGACACCGGTGCCTGACACGAACACTCGTCTCTCCCCTGATTTCGATGATTCGTGCATTTTGAGCATTTAGTGTACTTAGCTGCTGGCTGTAAACCCAAATACTGAGCGTACTCCGTTATTTTTCCTCTCCTCGAGTTATGACCCCTCGAATCATCACTCGGTGGCTCCGACGATGGCTCTGGACTCTCCAGAATTCGCTTCTTAAAGCCCTTAAATACTGGATGAGACACTGGATTTGGCAAACGCGTTGGAAAATTCTCCGGATATATTTCCTCTTCCTCTTCATCATCATCATCGTCACATTCTACACCTTTCTCTTCTTCCTCTTTCTCATCGTAGAATGACGGTGAAAAATTGCGATGAATTTTTAATGATTCACTGTCTGTTAGCACTTGGGACTCTGTATTTGAACCCTCTCCGTCGTCATCTTCCATAATAGACGGCGATCCAGGGACTTTTTGAGTATCTGGGCAGAAATAAATTGAAGGATTAGACTTTTTGGAAACAAAGGAGCATCTCGTTTTGATGGATTTTTTTTTTCTTTTTCGTTGTGCTCGGGGAGGTGGGTGGGAGAGGTTATTTGGCTTTATGGGGGGAGTCGGGGGTGGTGGGTTGTGCGATGTGATGATGTCCACGTTTTCACGTTTTTTTCTTTCTTTTTTATTCACTGAAGATCGTGGGGATGTGCCCCCGGTTGCGAGTGCAGACCTTTTGTGGGTGGCGAAAACACTGGGTTACAGTTTTTTAACTGGCGTCGAGACTTACCTCTGGGTCTCGTGGCAATTCGCGGGAATTTGGTGGAGGATTATTGTTCACGGTGGTTATTAACCCGGGGGTGATCTTTTGGTGGTGAATCGTGCACGTTTGAGGTACGATTAGACCGTCCCGGATTATCCCTGGCGACTGCTTCGTCGCGCTACGCGCCGAAAAGGTTAGTAAAATGGCGTCATTTCGCTCGTGAGACGAGGAATTGGTCGGTCAGATGGCAGAGGGGAGGATTTTTTTTTTCTCTCCACAATCTACTGTTGGGAGTGGGTACCGATCGAGTTTTTTACATTTGAATTTTTGGATCATCGCCTGAGAGTCTTTTTTTTCGCTCCGGCATCAATTCCATGAATTTTTTTATTCTCCACTATTTCCTCAATCAAACATTCATTTTATTCATTTGAAAATTTATTTTTGCTTCAGTATTGGTGAACAATTGAGCTTTTCACATTTGAATTGTTTATCACCTGTCCTGGTTTTCCCTCCACCATCGATTTTAAATATTCATTAATTTTCTAATTGCTTTCAATTGTATCTTCAATTGTAATTCGTTCTGAAACCTTAAAAAATCCCGAACGCATTTGAATTTCAATATTTCCCAAATATTTTTTTTTTTACGAAAAAAGAAAAAGCACTAAACGCGCTAATAAAAATTATATACATCATGACAACAGGTTCATCTATCATTTCTCCCATTAAAACCAATAATCGTTTGAAAAAATGTAATTCTCTTAAAATAATTCCAGCTAAAAAAAAAAAAATTAAAAAATAAATTAAAAAAAAATGGACGGATCACCTGGGATCCCAAAACTGAGAAATATAAATCTCCCAAAACCTCGAGAACCCCTCATCTCCGAGGAACTTCAAAATCCCAGCATCCGGTCTTGTAAATATCTGAAAGAGGCATCCTGGAGCTTCCGGAACTTACACACTCGACCTGAATGTGTGTGTATTATCAGTGTAGCGTCGATCCGCGAAAAAGCGTACGAAATCAGCGACAACTACATAAAAATCCTGAATATCCCCCTAAAAACCCTCCACAGAGAATCACCCCCAATTGTTACTATCAACAATAAAAAAAAACAAGGCATTCCGAAAGCCTGCAAAGCCAGCAAAAGCACCCCCAGGACTCGAAAGCGATCCGCAACTACTGATCGAGCACCGAGTGAGGTTAAAGTGTTGACTGACGATTGTTATTAAAATTCTTGGAAAAAATCACCCCGAGGAAGTCATCACATCGGCATCCAAATAGCCACCGAGGAAAATCATTTATTGATAAACCGATAACAACAATCACCCGGGGTGTGTGATTTTTTTCATAAAAACTGGGCCATCAGAGTGGTCTTTATTCTGTGGTGGTGGCTATACCGTTCGTTGTCATTTGAAAACGGAAGCCATCTTGTGGCTGAGTCTCCCATATTATAATCTAAAAGGGGGAACCTCATAGAATCCCTCATCTGAGTTGATAAATCACGACAAAACGGTGAAAATAACACTAACAATCACCCGAAAAACAAGTCCGTCGACACTACAACTGTTTTATTCGGACTATGTATAAGTTATTTGGCCATATGTTTACATAGCCATGGCTGCGACGAGAAAGTTGCAAGGTAAAATTTATATTTGTCCATCCACAGCGTGTTTACATTGTCCCTTAAAATTACCTCCCATCCCCATTAAATCAAGGGTATTACCCTCATCCACTGGCCCACCACCTTCTCACCCCCATTCCCTACAATTTTCTGTTATTAATTGCCAAAGTTTGTGTTAGATTTGGGCATTTTTGTGGGGGTTAACTGTGTTGTTTAGTGAGACTGGAGCCAGGTGCATTAATCGTACCAGTTGAGACTCATTAGATTAATTTGGTGAATATGTACTTGAAATGTTGAGATTTAACGCGTAATTTTCATTCTGGGGATCGTTAATGTGGGGATTATTTGGATTATTGTCCGTTTTAACCGATCAATTCTGTCGGCTGATTCAGGTGAAATAGACCGGTGCCTTAAAAAAGTGACCGAGGGTGTCGATACGTTTGAGGATATTTGGCAGAAGGTGCACAATGCTACCAACAGCAATCAGAAGGAGAAGTACGAGGCTGATCTCAAGAAGGAGATCAAGAAGCTGCAGAGGTTACGTGATCAGATCAAAAGTTGGATTGCCTCTGGGGAAATCAAGGACAAAAGCACGTTACTCGATTATCGAAAGTTGATTGAAACGGTTCGTTGAATTTTTATTTCACATTCACGAGAATGTCTGTTTTTTTTTTCTTTTGTCTCTTGTAGTTTGATGTGTGCAAATTATTGGATTTGGATTTATGGTTGAATTTTTTTATGGGGGGTGGGGCAGCAAATGGAGAGATTCAAAGTCGTTGAGAGGGAGACCAAGACGAAGGCGTACTCTAAGGAAGGACTTGGTGCAGCTCAGAAACTCGATCCAGCGCAGAAGGAGCGAGAGGAAGTCAGTAATTGGCTCGCAAACTCGATAGATGCCCTCAATTTGCAGGTGAATACTATCGGCTATTATTTATTTATTGGAATAGTTGTACGATTTTTTTTTTCAGCTGGATACATTTGAATCGGAAATAGAGTCACTCCTCGCTGGAAAGAAAAAACGACTGGACAAGGATAAGCAAGACAGAATGGATGAGTTGAAGGGTAAACTGGAGAAACACCGCTATCACATTCGAAAATTGGAAACCCTTCTGAGAATGTTGGACAATATGTCGGTTGAAGTCAATACAGTACGTGAATAATTTATGACACCCATCCGCTGAGAAGAAAAATTTATTTGATATTCATCTACTTGAGAGAAGAATTTCGATAAATTTGTGGCTATTGAGTGAAAAAAATGAATTAAAAAATTAATACAAGCTGAAAAGTTGTTCTCTCAAGTAGAAATAATTATCTAGAATAAAGAGCAATTTTTTCTCGGCGTCATTCCTTCTATTTTCACGAGAGTAATAACAATCTAATGCAGAAAGCCCTTATTATTAAGATAAAAAGGATAAAGGACGATGTCGAGTATTACATCGAGTCCTCCCAGGAGCCGGACTTCGAGGAGAACGAGTACATCTACGACGACATAATCGGTCTGGACGAGGTGGAGTTATCGGGTGTGGGCATTCCATCATCAGCAACGACTGACAGTAACAACAGTAATGAAACAGGTGGTACACCGACCTCAACGAATTCAGGAACATCGCCGATACCATCGCCCCCCTTGAGCTCCACAATGCACAATCATTCGAGTGACAGTTCCACCGATACCGACAAAAAAACTAAAGTAAGAATTCAATCCCACTGTATAAAGTAAACCCACGGAGACAAATTGATAAGACAAATAATTGAACATAATCCATCAAAGGACGAATTATTCCAGCCTGTGAAGCCAACAGCAGTTCGACCCCTCCTGAATTCGTCCCAGACGAGCATTCCATCAGCAGGAACCACTGCCATCCAAAAACCACCAATGTTAACAAGCAGTACACCAAGTAAAACCATTCCCATGACATCAAGCCACAGTTCTCCAATATCAACAACATCGAATCACGTATCAACAAGTAACGCCGGTAATTTTGCAACGGTTGCTGCATCGCACACCAATTCTCAAGCAATTCACTCTACCTCCACTAAAATTTCATGTGCGTACCTCCATCGTAACCCCTCCTCTCATTTCATTTAACAAATAATTATAAAATATCATAATTCGAAAATTCCAAATAGGAAAAGTCCCCGAGTAATTGAAAAAAAAAAAAAAATTATATCCTCAGCCCACAGTGAAAATGGATTGTCGTGTTCGATGACGACAAGCACTCCTACGTCGTCGCAGAGTCTCTCCCAGGTGCAAGCACTCCAGCAGCAGTCGAGCCAGCAGATACAGGCGTCGATTCCACCGATCCAGCCACCAGTGCAGTCACCCCCCTCTCAGGCACCAGTGCAGCCCCAGATAATTCAGGCAATTCAGCCAATACAGCATGTGCAGCACCAGCCAACGACACCACAGCCCATGCCCCTAATCCTCCAGAATCCCCAGGTGCCGCAGCAACAAGCACCAGTATCTCAAAATCCACCGCATCAGATCTCCAATCCATCGATACCAGCTGCCACGACGACAATTCCATCGGGCATCGTTCTCGTTCATAATCAGAGTCAAAATCACAACAGCACCAATGATGATATGACGACATCCGTTCCACCATCAGCATCACCTCAGTCATCAATGAGCAGCAGGTCATCGCCTATTCCGGCCAATTCGTGTTCACCAGCACCATCCACTGCCAATGGTCTCATCTCGAAGCTTTCTGATGGTATGACATCTCTCAAGATCATTGCGCAGAATGCCATTGATCGGGCTGGCCTTGAAATGCCACCTGGGGATGGCAGTAGAAATATATTCGACAGCTCCAAGAGCAATACCGCAACATCTGAGGCACATATTCCTCCATTACTTGGTGTTGCACCACTGGGACCTGTGCCACTGCAGAAGGAGCACCAGCAGCAATTCCAGATGATGGAGGCCTCGTACTTTCACATGCCTCATCCGTCGGATTCGGAGAGGCTCAGGTCGTATCTACCCAGGAACCTCTGTCAGACTCCACCTTATTACCAGCAGGTGAATTTTTCATTTTTTTTTCAATGTGGAATTTTGTAAAGACGTGTGGGAATTTGGTGAATTATTTACACATGGATTTTATGATTTTGGAAATTAGGTACCATTACCTCACTCGGATACCGTTGAATTCTTCCAACGACTATCGACAGAAACTCTTTTCTTCATATTCTACTACATGGAGGGATCGAAAGGACAGTACTTGGCAGCCAAAGCATTAAAGAAACAGTCCTGGAGGTTTCACACTAAATACATGATGTGGTTTCAAAGGCACGAAGAACCCAAAGTCATTAATGAGGAATACGAGCAGGTGAGAATTATTATGTAGTAGTCTTGAAAAATATCCAGTGGATTGTATTTCAGTGGAAGATTAAAAAAAAATTTTTTAATCTCTCTACAGGGTACGTACATCTACTTTGATTACGAAAAATGGGGGCAGCGGAAGAAGGAAGGCTTCACTTTTGAGTACAAGTACTTAGAAGACAGAGATCTTAACTGAATGAAGAGAGAAAAAATTGCCAAGGAGATTTTCCAGAATACAAAATACTGCACTAATTCTGTATCGGTATTAAACCAAGAGAACACGAGCTCCGAAGTCGTTAGAACAGTTCAAAATTCACAATCAAGGGGTATAAAAATTGTTATTACGTAGAATTGCAGGAATTAATTTATTCGTCGAACAATTGGGATTTACACCGATGCAAAAGAAAAAAAAACTGATGGTTCAGTTCCTGGGGGTTGTGGACGAAATATTATTTTCAATTTTATTTTACGCGAGATAGGAGACACAGGGATAAGATATTGTTCGGATAAAAATGGAATTCAGACGACGACGATGACGAAACTTGAGAGGGAAGTTCGTACTTGGAGCCATTTAATGGAGAACGAGGGGGAAAAAGTGGAAAACGATGTGTGATAAATTGAATATGAACGGAGAACTAAATAATAATGATGGATAAAAGGTATACTTGCTGGCGACTGACTCTGTAATACCAGTACAAAATACATATGAGGTGCGACCGAACCCACCAGTTATTGTTTTTTTTTTAATTATTTTTTTTCTTCGCCAGAAAGAAAATTACCAATTTCAGGATGAAAAGAAATTGGATTGAAAAAAAATGAGGGGTGGTGGGAACTCAACTCATTGCTATGTGGTTATGTCTTAAAAAGTGAATAGATAATAAGTAGCCTTTTTGTATAAAGTTTAATTAAATCCTTTCAATTGAAAAAAAAAAATGAAATTTACTGTACAGAATGTGTAGAAATAGTTGATAATATTATTATGGAATATACACATCATTTTATTTCTCAGAAGAAAACATTTATTTTCCACCCGATAAAATTTATTCGTTGAGAAATCATTGAAACTTGTAAAGTGAAGAATTCCTAGGATTTAGAGAGTGAAGGTGAATTATTTTTGGAGCTTTTTCTTTCTGTCACTTGTCCTGTACATAAAATACTTGAGAGCCTCGAGGTTATTTAAAGTGTTGAAGTATTTTTTTTTTCTCATAAGTTTTATTTTTTTTTTCTAACTTCATTTTGTGATATTTCAATTGTTTAAAAACGATTATTTACGTTTGCCCTTGAATTTAGATTTTACACGTTTGCGTACACCGGATGATTGTTCAGTGTCATCATCGTCGTCGGCATTCTGTCCTTTCTTACGTTTGCCTGATTTTTTTGCATCTTCCATGTCCTTCATCTCCTGTGAATGAAAAATGATTTTAGATTAATATTTGACGTAGTGAATAAGAAGTAAATAAATGACATTTTCAAGAGATTAATGACCATTTTCACTATCCTCTGGGCCTCTGCCACTCGTTCCTGCAGCAACATCACCTCCTCCTCCTCAGTATTGTAAAGGGGAAGAGTTTTCGATATCAATTGCTCGATTCTCTGGTACAACTCCACGTCGTATTGAGTTACAAATGTTATAGAACGTCCTGAACGTCCTGCACGCGCTGTCCTCCCAACCCTGTGAATATAATCCTTGCTGTGTGTGGGAATATCGAAATTTATCACCACATCCACGTGGGGAATGTCCAGACCTCTGAAATATCGCAGGTAAAAATTTATTCTCACCTTTCCGAATTTTCTTATCATTTTTAAAAATTAATTCAATCATTTTCATTCCAAATAAATATAGGAAATTGTATTTTTTTTTTCATTTTCACCTGCTGGCAACATCGGTAGATATCAGAATAGATCTATTCTTCGCTTTGAATTTTGTCAGGGCAGCCAATCTTTTATTCTGCGTCATCTGCCCATGCAGTGGAACAGCCATAAATCCCAGATTACGAAGCAGTAGTGCTGTACGTACAGTATTATTGCAAGTGCCACAGAAAATCATGAAGCTGTTACCTGCGAGCTCATTCAGTATATGAACGAGATAAACGTCCTGAAAAAATTCTAAAATTGTATATCTTATGACTAAAACTAGCAATAAAAAATCAAATGATTAATGAATTATTAATTGAATCAAAGAAAAATCTCACTTTGAATTTGGTGGGTATAAAAATGTAGTACTGCTGCAATTTATCAACAGTCTGATACTTCGTTGAGACCTCGACCTTGACAGGATTCCTGAGGGAGGCCCTCTGAAGTTTCTGCACCTTCTTCGTCATTGTGGCTGAAAAGAGAAGTGTCCTGCGTTCTCTAGGAATAACTCGTAATATTTTATCGACCTCGACCTCGAAATCCATATTGAGAATTCGGTCAGCCTCGTCCATCACGAGGAATTTGAGAGATCGTAAATTGAAGCCCTTCGTATTTTCTAGATGATCAACCAGTCGACCTGGTGTGGCTATCAGGATGTGGGGCTTTTTCGCGAGAATCAAAGATTGTGACATCATGTCCATTCCACCAACAATAACAGCGCATTTGACACCGATGCTGGAGCCCAGGGCCTCGAATTGTTCTGCAATCTGAAATGCCAGTTCTCTGGTAGGCGTCAGAATCAGGGCAAAGTACCTCTGAGGATTCTCCAGGAGTGCCTGGAGAATCGGAAGAGCAAAAGCTGCAGTCTTTCCAGAACCAGTCTCTGCGAGGCCAATGACATCCTTTCCTTGAAGGGTCTGGGGGATCGCCTCCCTCTGGATCTTCGTCGGGGCTTTCCACTTGAGCTCCTGACAGGCCTGACACAGTGAGTCAACAATACCCTGGGGAAAATTTCAGTGTCTCAATATTTTTTCTATGATTTCGAATAATTTCATGAGTCTTACCAGGTCCTTCCAGGTTACTTCCTTTTCCTCATCCTCTTCGATAGCTTCTGGACTCTCTGAATCACTTTTCTCACTCATTTTTTCACTCCAACACGTGTGAATTGACCACAACAATATTTTAACCTTAATTTTTTGTCACTCCTCTCTCGGTCGGCATTACAGATTTCTCCAGACAGTAAAAAAAAAATTCAAAAACTCTTCCAAATTTTTTTTTTCACATTCCAGTGATTTTCCCCAAAATATAGAATATAATTACCAATTATCTTCTCATAGGAATTTATTTATGCACCGTAATTATAAAAAAATTGAAATTTACCGCCAAATATTGAATTAAAATAATAGTTTCATAATTTTTTATTGTTTGTGTAAAAAAATGGGATGTTACAAGAAGTATTTGAAGTAATTGTAATGCTATGAAAATCGAAAAACATGAATTAGAGGGTCCCCCCACCCTCAGAGTGGCACATGCGTGCACAGGGTGAGTTCCCGCGCAAGTTCAAATACTCAATCCTATCGCATGCAATATTCTCGTAACATTCCGCCAATATTCTCGATACCGACGAAGAAGGTAGGACTCACCATTCCCTCGACGACATTCTCGACGAGAAAAAAAAAACTCGAAAGATATTCCATCAATGGGAGAGGAATAATTGAATGAACTTTACCGTAAAAAGGGACAAACGTCTTGCCAATAAACAAAAGGATGGATTCGAAAAAGGAAATGCAAAGGGAAAGGCTGTCAGAGCCGAAGCAACAAGCAACAACAATCATCCACAGCTACTCAATTGAAGAGGGACAACCACCTGGGGGACTCACCAACGGGTACATCGGGGGGGTAATCGTTGGTACGTAAATGCCGCATACCGTGAACCAACCTAAAGGTCAATTAGAGTCCCAAGGTTTACATAACCACGAGCCGAAAGGTTGTCTCATCTGCAATGTGCCAGGATTATTTTTTTTTCAAATGATTTTTGAAATAACGAGAAAAATCATTTTGAGAATAATTACACGCAAATTCACTCGCCAGTCATTTCTGACACGCCGATGAGGCAAATGATAATTGGCGGTTGTAATCCGGCCATTTGATAAATCACCGATTGAAAAAAAAAAAATACTTAAATTAACAAGGTCGTAAATCCCGGATGTTTTGAGGCGGTGGAATTGACGGGTGGAAATGACGGGTCTAAATGTGCGAGGAAGTGGTGGACAAGGCCACGGACAGGGTGAATGGGTCGGCAATTCGAATGGGTAAAAATTTCCCCACCACCGAGAAATTATTAAATCACCAGGTATGACCGAAGGGTCGTAAATCGGATTCGCGTCACGTGTGTGGAATGTTTCTTTTTCTCCACGTGTCACCCCTCTCGATGAAGATGATATATCAAACCAGTTTTCTAAAAAAAAAAAAATATGCACATTTTTACATAAATGTCGCATCAAATACCACTGGAAATTTTCACAAATGCCTCATGATTTCGCCGATATAATTCACCGTCGAACAATGTAACTTCATTTATCCAGTGAAGAATTTGTTCTATGGAAAAGAAAAAAGATTCACCATGATAATGCACCATAATCTGAGAGACCCGTAATAAACCCACGAGTACTCTTCTCGGTGGGTTATTAAATATGCGATTATGCAAGCACGAAAATGTTGGAAGAACGTGGATTATTATGACACATAAAAGCAAGTTTATTTAACATACACCACCTAGAATTCCCTAGCTGTTGCACTGAGATAAAACTTTATAAATTAATAAAAAAATAAAATACATTAATCTTTCTGAAACTGACAAATGAAACAATTAATTACTCGAAAATACATACGATTGCACATGCTAAATATTGAATTGAATAAAATGTTTATATATATATATATATTATGAGGAATTATTAATTAGGTTTTTTAGGTTTTTAATTGTTCATTTAATATGAATAAGAGTCTCTCATCGGAAAAAAAAGATGAGTATTAAAAAAAAATGTTCTCTCGTAGATTATCCACCCGTCCACCTTTGACCATTAAGTCATCTGTGATGCGTTCCACCCATGAGAATATGCTAATCACTTCATTAGTATTTATCCAATTAGAAATTGTCCCCGAGTGATGCATTACTCACTTGCCATTTTACCTTTCTAAAGACAATGAAATGGCCGAGTGCAATTGCATTCTGGGATTGCTTCTGCATTTTTCTTACGTTTCACTCTTCATTTTTCGAACCGCAATATTCAATAGATAAAAAATAAAAAAATTCATCAGCAATATCCTGAGACTTAATTATTATTTTTCCATAAACGAAGGAAACTGGAGAGAATTTCGATAATTATAATAATTCATGTAATATAATTACATTTTTATATTATTTAATTTAATTGTACGAAAATTTTAATTAAATCGTAATGATTTTAATGATTTAATTGCGATAAATTTGGAATGAGTTGAATCGTTGGGAGAGGAATAATTTCTTTTATCGGAATTCCTTCAGGGAAAATTGATGAAATAATGGCGGATTATTGCGTACGTTGTTAATGATTAATCGGGCATATCCGGATGGATCAGCATCATGTACCGATGGATAATGGTAATGGTGGGTAACGTGACCTAGACATTGCTGTTTGCGATGTTAAACACAGTGTATGCTTGATTACGTATTGCCTGTTTCATCTCCGAAGGTAAGTTGAAGATGTCCTTACATATAATGCGAAAAAAATACATCATACGTCGATTGGTACTTTGAAATTATTTTTATTATCCTCCATTAACATCGGAATATTAAAATATTTATGGATTACTGGGGGTGAAAAATTCCCACGTGATTTTTTCTCCCTCTTCATGTTTTTTTTTATCATTTATATATGAAAAATCGTGGAGGTGATTAATTGGGGTAAATGTATCGTTTTTGAATTTTTTTTTACGAATCTTTAGTAATTTTTTTAATTTTATTGATCCGTTGGTGCAAATTATCCAATAATATTAAATCATTATTAACATGACATTTTCCAATTGTGTAATAATTCCCAAAATGTCATGATCGGTAATAATTTCTCCTGCGTTTTTTCTAAACTTGTAAAATGTAGTTTTAACCGGTATCAAAAATGGAGTTCCAAATTCGACATCCGAATTTGGCAGGAATCAAAAAAATTGGCGCGATCTTCTGAAATTTGAATAAATGTTCATTAAATGGAGGAAAAAATGTAGTGCCGATCGGTTAGACGAAAAAAAAAATGGATTCACCCGAAGATGAAAAAAGGGGCGATGCGATTCGATGGGATATGTGATATTTCGGTATTTCCCGGAGAAGATGGTGGAAATATCTGATCGAACGAGGTGTAACCGCGTATGATGGATTTGACTTGAAGTGGAAATAAACGGGTACTTTGAAATTAAGAATATGAAAAATGTGAAAAAAAGAAAAAAATGAGATGCACGCAGATGCATCAGCAGCAATAGCAGGGATGACCCCTTTCACTGTACTGTGTTGCTGACACACTGGAGGCCCCCGTGTATATAAAGAGCCTCGCCTCATGACCAGGAGACACAAGTACCCATCTCATCTTCCTCTCAATCTCTTTGGTGGAGTACGATCAAGTGACATATTATGTATACGTTAAAGGTAAGTGGATAATCAAGAGTGGAAAAGAAAAAAAATAAATCAATGATGATCATCATCATCAACTCATCAATTCATCAACTCATCAACTCATCGAATCATCGATTTCTCCAAGAGGCACCACCCAGACCATCCAATGATTACCTCATCACCTGATCAATCGATTTTCCCCGATTTTTCTCCATTATTTTTTCAATTTCCAATGTTTTTCATGAATTTGACACCCTCCAGGCCCTAATACTGGTCGCGATATGTGCGACGGCAACCTGGGGAGCTCCCCAACGAGGCGGTGGAGGTGGTGGTGGTGCTGACAAAGACGCTGTCATCACGTCGCAGACACTGGAAGTGAATTTTGACGGGAATTACGTAAACAAGTGAGTAAAAAGTCGTATGAAAGGTCATCCGAGAGTTATGAAGTGAATTTATGTTCAGCTTTGAGACGAGCAATGGGATAAGCCACCAGGAGACTGGACAGCCCAAGCAGATCGAGGGTGAAACGCCGGTGGTGTCACAGGGCTCGGACACCTACACAAACCCAGAGGGTCAGCAGATCAATTTAGTGTGGACTGCTGATGAGAATGGATTCCAGGCATCTGGTGCCCATCTTCCAACAGCACCACCTATTCCCAAGGAGATTCAGGCCGCTCTTGAGTATAATGCTGCACACCCTGAGGAAGACGATGGCGGCCAGCCCAACAGACCACCACAGAGAGGTTCAAGACATATATTATGAGGGATTTATCTCGGTATCTGGGGGTTGTACGGGCAAATGTCAAAAAATTTTTTTTTTGCAGAATTTAATAAGCTGGAAAAAAGCTCTTCAACGTTTTTTTCGTAAATTAATAGTTTTCGGGATATATTGATAATTTGAAAAGTTGGATTTTTCATATATTTTTAACGCTTGATTTTTTTTGGTGAAATTTGTGTGGGGGTGAAATAATTAATAATTTTTAATTTGTCTTCAGGTTAATCAGCTCCGGCGACACCTAAACTAATCGATCGTGTTGACCTTACCAAAAGAATAAGCCGGCCTGTGTTATATGGATAAAATCGACCTGACCCGCACCTTAAAAATCCAACGATTTTGTTAATTGAATAAAAGAAAAGAATGAATATCGCAATGGAGCGACAGATTTTCAACATGAAAACTGGAAAAATTTCTGAGGCTTTTCGAATGCCAATAGATTTGGGGGATTGGAGGGGCTTCGGCGAGGAGAGGGTGAGACTTCTCCTCGGGGAAACCGCCGAGAATCGCCATTTGTCGCTTTGTGATTTCTTATATTTTTAATATATTACCTGATATCTATATATAACATATTTTTGTGTAAATAAAGTATCTCAACGATGAAAACCTGTTTTCATAATTTTTCCCCGATATTCCCTCATTTTTTGCAAAAAAAAAAAAATTTATAAAAACGAGGGTCCGAGAAAAATGCCGAGTTGACTCGATTATCTCTGGATCTGCAGAAGATAACGTATTTTTCGATAAGATCTTTTCTCTAGAGCGGAATGAGAGCTACAAAAAATATTTAAACAATCGTTCAGCTATCTCTCTCGGTTTCGGAGATATTCATTGGCAACGTGGGGATTAATCGAGATGCTCTTTAGATCTTGACTATTTGTCATTATTTATTGTTTTTATGATTTTTTTTTAATGGAATAAGCGTGTGTCTGGATGAGTCATCATTCGAGTATGACCATTCTTGGCATTCTGAACTATTTACCCTTGAGGTGAAGATGGTAATGCCGACCCTGTCAATGCCGCATGGGGAATGCGTGTTATGATCTCCACGCGAAGACGCGGAGGAAAATTTCTAGTTATATTTACTCCGGGGATTAGTAATCATGTGCTGTATTAGGTCTCAACAAATTTTCCCATCGAAATCAATCGATGGTTTATTTTATTTATATTCCCGTAATAGATCATACGAAAAATTTGAAACCTAATAAAATACGGGAATTTACAAATGATTGTTTTTTTTTTATTTAAAAAATGTTTGAATTTCGATTCCCCAAAAGGTGCCCGATTTTCCGCCATTTTAATTTCTAAATAATATAGAGAGATGTTGCTCACAGACGATAAGAAAATTTTCATACTCGCAAAAAAACATTTTTTTTTAAAAATCAAACCCAGGATCGCCGAGACTCCCAACACCCCCCCAAAAAAACCAAAAAATGTAATTCATTGCATAAAATATATTTTACCATTTTTCATAATAAAATTAGTACAATAACAATTATAGTATGCATAACGCACATAAAAGTGCGTGCATTTACAACAATAACAATAAATATAGAGGTGGGACAGGCAACAACAGAACGACAATCAAAAAATAAAAAAAACACCGAGGACATCATCCCCTGGAGACGCGAGAGACGCACCTCTCCAGGGTGATGATCGATGATTACTGATCATCCTTGGAGGGATGAGCTTCGATCCACTCGAGTGCTTTTTTGATGAGCTCTGGAATAGGTGGTGGTGTGGGGAGATGTGCGCCTTCAGGTTTAAAGCCTTCCTCGTTGGCCGTGTACTTGAGTGAAATATCCTGTCCATCCGTAGACTTGTACGACGACGAGCCCCTCACCTGGAGAGCAGCATCATCCCCCTGTCCACTGAGACTACCCTCTTCCTCAGCCTTTATCCCATTGGCTGACTCCCACGACCACTTGTAAGACCCATCAGGATTGGGCCCATCCTGGCTTTGACTGACGATAGCTATCGGTGCATCAGCAGCCGCACATACAGTCACCACCGCCGCAAACACAATAATCTGCACACACAAAATTATCATCTCCATGATTATCCATTGGTCCCGGTGCACCACTTCATTTCCACCAACATTTTATCAACAATTTTATCAATAATTAATAAATAATGGCAATCTGCCTCAACTCCAACGCCCAAAACTACTTAAACCAGGAATAACTCAGGATCTAACGGAGAAAACGAAATCATTATCATAACCATTCCTCTCCGTCAACTCAATCCCTACAAAAAAGATAATAACTAAAAAATCGATATCACCCGTAATTTCCCAGATATTCACCAAAAACTGATCATCACTAACAGCAAAAACAATGAAACAATTCAAATGGACTTACCGATCTTCCGTGAATATCCCGAGATATAACAGAGATACCGATTTTTTCATTATCACCTTTTTTCTCGAGCCGATGAAGATCTCGATAAAAGATGGAGTAAAAAAATGGATAATTCCTGATACATTCCGAGATATCCAGGGAAAATGAAGTCAACCGGTTAATTGAACAATTAGACTCTTACCACCGATGTCCTCATGCTTGTAGCAGCTTTAATCTCAAATGCTGGAGTGTTTATCGTGTACCCGGTACCCGTGGCATATATACCCCCAGGATTCCACCACAAATGCACAAAAACATGCGAATACCCATTACCTGTCCCATGCGACAAACGATTCTACATATCAATGTTTAAACAACAAATACATTTAAATAATTCCAATATACGTACATGCAGTTCTAGCCGAGAGCCTCCACCACCACCACCAGAAGCTACCATACGAAATACATCATGAATCTATCCGAGTAGGGATTCACAAGGCGTCCTTTTTCACTCTTTATTCCTCTTCGTTTAAACATTTGAAAAAAAAAAACAAGAGATCACCGTGTCGCCGATGTGGCGGCTCTACCATGTGTATAAAACGTTAAATGTCATCGGGTCCCCAGCAGAAGCAGCACCAAGGAGTTGGCGACGTTTAAGGACGCTTACTCAATTGTCATAATTTCCTTTAACCGCTTTCACGCTAACAACAATTCCGATTATTTTTTTATCCCATTCCTCGACCGATTGAAAGATTGAGAAAAAAAGTGCCACTTGATTTGTGTCCAATTCATCACAGGAAATATCAATATTTCGTCATTACTCCGTCGACTTATCCTTGCGCAAATGAAAGATGACAATTATCTTCAATCACTTATTTAATGTAATTTACGTTGCGCTCCTTGTACTTGGATGGCCGACTATTATTTCTGTCATACCCAAGGTGGTGACCTTCTCATTAAAAAATATGTCTCCACGTTCCATCAATTCATCGATCAATATATCAATTAATGCTTTCAACGTAATACCAATTGCATTCATCATCCGTTAAATCGCTTTTCTCTCATGTTTGTGCGGATTTTATGTGTCAAGGTCGCCGATTCTTTGAGTATCTTCTTCTTTGAAAGGTTCGGAGGCGTATTATCTACTGAAAAAATTCCTATAAACCCTATATTAATTAAGGAGACAGTAATAATGACCCAGTGACGAATAATCCAGTTGGTAAGACCAATCTAGAAGAAATTTCGAAATTTCAAATTTTTTTTGGAAAATTATCGATGAGATTTGAATATTCATTGAAATATCAATTATTTTCGCTTAATTGGATCGTTAATTACTGGTCCAATGGCGGAGTTATTCATTATCCTATCCGAATAATTTTCGATTTAAATTCTTATATAAGAGAACTTTCCACGAGGAAAAAAATAATTTTCCGAAGGATTCACATGATAATTTTCCACTCAATTAATGATCATAAATAATGAGGAGGATAAAAAAAAGAGATGACTTCAAGTTGGTAAATGTCTCTTTATGTACTGATAAAGATATGTATCAGGCGTTAAATAACATGAACACAGGGTCTTGCAGGTAGGCAAGAAAAATAATATGTGCAGCTTGAGCAATTGTCGATATTGTTGTGTATCTAATGTGAATTGTTACTGTAGTTTATCTTCCTCTGGGTGTGCGGCGATCCACTCGAGGGCCTTGAGGATGGCTTCTGGTACAGCTGGTGCGACCGGTAGGTGTGCACCCTCGGGTTGGAAGCCATTCTCACCGGCTGTGTAGGTCACCTGGATGAGATTGCCGTTTTCGTCGGGATAGGTGTAGCTACCGTGAACGGTATTTGCCTCTTTGTACTCGCTGTCGGGATTGGACGACGGCTGCTGGGAGCCCTGCTCCTGGACATTTATTCCGTTTGACGTTTCGTAGCTGTAGGAGTACGAGCCGTCCGGATTTGGTCCGTCCTGGCTCTGTCTCACGATTACTATCGGAGGAGGAGTTGAGTTGTCACCTGCTGGAGCTGATGAGGCCATCGCCACCAACACTCCCATCACCATCAGTTTCTACAATATTTCAAATTTATTTTTCCATTATTTCCACATAATTCGTAATTGAAAAATTCAATAATCGACAAATTGAATGAAAAAATTTCTTCAACCAATTTAATCGCTTCCATAATAAAGAAATAATAGTCATGTACTCCAATATTTATCGGGTATTAATGCCAAATTTAGTACGTGGGGGAGGGTTTATTGATTCGCGCAATAATCATTCCGCGGAGAATGAAATATAATCCGATGATTTATTAAAAAAAAATTTATCTTGAAAACAGGTTCCAGTACTCAATTACGGAAACATTTGAAAATAATTTAGTGAATACGCAAGATTGAGTGGTGGATAATGATCTCGGAATTTCCATACTCACCGCTGCGAGGATCATGGTATCCAAATAAATGTTGATTGCAATGTTAGTATGAACACGATTATTGTCGGACTGATTTTTCGGTGGTACCACCGGGCTTTTATACCCGATGCCAAAAGTTAGATGTGGAAGTGTTGGGTTGTGCAGCATCCCGTACACACAGACCATCTCCCTCTTTTCGATTAGATCAGTGTATATGTCAGTGGCCAGATGATTTCGTCAATGCCCATGGGTGTATGGGTGCCTATGACCACAGGTGGGGAATTGGGCGTAATTTTTCAACTCATTCCACAGAATTTAAACTTCTATTTGGATTTGTATAGTCCCCCGACACTCCACCGCTCCCATTTACAATTATTGAAAAAAAAAAAAATAGCCAATGATTGCACAGGAATAAAAAAAAATCAATCATGCTCGTGGCTCGTATCGTTTTTTTTTAATAATTCCATGATTTCTGGATTTTTTTTTTGGATTTATTTAATGTATAATCTCGCTGACAGAAACTGCACAGGAATTTCTGAATGAATATATTGATCTTTGCAAATGGAAAATGAAGAGGATAAAATCACGGGATTTTTTTTTCTCTCAATAGGTATTTTTTCTCCCGCATTTAGTGGCAATGGTTTCATCTATTGACAATTCGTGTGAAATTTCGTCATCGATTTATATCATCCCAAACAGGTTTCTCGTATTACAAACACTCTAGCATATTTATCCCCGATCAGACGAACGTTCATTATAAAAGCAAATTTTTTTTTTCAATCCGTTGTCTCGAGTCCTTTGAGACAAATTTCTCCCCATGACGAATTCATCGAGAAAATGGACACGCCTCATTACAATTTAATAATCGAGTAATGAGTAATTTATTCCCGACGTAAATACCCGGGAACAATAAATTATGAACTCCAGACGAAGTGAATTCTGACGTTTCACTCGTGATTGACATTTCAGGGAAATTAATTGTCCCGTAATCACTCAATGACTTTCTAATTACATCCTACATTTCTTCAAATACTAGTCACTACTTGAAGCATCAGATTCCAAGGACAAAGCCATTGCTGCAAGCAATAGATTCTCAAGAACTAATCATGGGCTACCAAAAAAAAAAGAATTAGTTTCGTCAATGCGTAGATCATTATATCGATGACTACATGTGTTACATGTGATCAACTGGCAAAGGTCAGCGGATTGAAATATCATCTGAACAAATTTAAACAACTGGGGAATGAATTTTCCTGAAATTTCCATTTTTTATATTATTATTTGGGATGAATATATTTTTGGTGAGGTCTGAGTGCGGGTGAATTGGATGAACATTGAATCATCGAAAGATAATGACAATAGCCAAGGCAATTGGTGGAGTTAAACTCATATTGCGGAACATTCGCCTGCAGCGACGTACCCCAGCTTCCACAGGGCATCAAAGAGTAAAAGATTCCTCAAAGTCATCTCGCCAACGCAAACGCAACAGATGATATTATTGTATATTATTCGCCCGGAGAGCATCTGCCGCGTGAAAGTAAAAATCTTCGTTTGTTGTATTTGGGTTATAGCCATTGGTATGACCTCCGCAAGCCAGATGTACACCATGGAAAATAAAAAATTGCCATGGATAATTCAATGATGTTTGCCAAAATATATTGCACGATCCTTCATCCTCATTACAATAATTATCCACTTGAAAAATTCAAAGACCAGGGAGCGCTTCTTATTATTATTATTTAAACATCTTCTCCCTCTTTATTATTACAATATTCATAATATCCTGTTATTTGCGCTGTTAAAAATGGGTATTATGATGGCTGAAAAATTTTACGGATAATATTCATTGGGCATTACGACTTTCGCTCTCGTAATTACACGCTGCGAATTAATTATTCAATCAATTATTATTAGAAGTCAAGTAGACGTGAAAGAATCAAATTCATTTTTCGAGGTGAATTACAATTGAAATAAAAAATTTCCATTCATTCTTTGAAACAAATTTATTCATTCAATTTTTTTCTGAAAATCCAATAATTAAAAAAAATATCAATAAATAAATAAGATTGAAAATAAAATTCAGGGATAATATTCTGTTGATATTGTAACCATTGGGTAATGTGTCACTGGAAGTCTCGATGTTATCAGTTCATATTTAATATTATTACTTAAAAAAAAATTAGTAAATACGAGTTGGGAGTCGATGAAATTTATGTACAGGTGAAAAATCATCAATTTGATAGGGTGACCCTGACTGACCAGTTCTGTCGTGATTACGAGGTTCAACGGGTGTTATAAAAAGATGAGACTCCAGTGAATCCTGGCCATACCTGGCCATCACATCGCCACCATCGGCACTCACATCATTGCGTAACAGATCATTCCAGTTATACTTTCTTCATTTTATCATCACAAGAGACTGAAAATCAATCTCTCAATGATTTTTTTCCCAAATTCCCACGCTCCCACCCATTTTTTTCCATTCGATTCGCCATCCACCATTTCAAAAAATCATTTCGTATTTTAATTTTATGGCGCGTTTATTGATTCCCCATTTTAAAATTTCCTGTTTTTATTTTTTAGTCGATGAATTTTATGGTAAATTGAATATTAGAATTCTCAATCTGAAATATGGAAATTTATTGAGGGTATTTCGAGGATGGGAGATGCCGATCGTGTGTTTTCGGTTGATAATTTGCGCGTATGAAATAAGAGACGCAAGTGAAGATGCGCAAATACTTCAAGGAGAGCGAGACTGGGAAAAATTTAGTAATAACGACGACCCCAACCTGATTCAAAAGTTTATAATCGTTCGAAGAGTTGAGGAAAAAAAAAATGGACATATCGCGCGGTCAATGCACAGTCGATTCATCACTGGAAATACCTGTCATTAAATCGGTTTGCGGTATTTCCAGCTGGAGTCGTTATCTCACTGATTCGTTTTTTAAATTCTCTTTTTTTTCGATGATGACACCTCTGAATGAAAATAGGCGCCGCCTGGAAACCGATCTGTCAAAATGGTGGGCGATTTTCTGCATATTCATACCTCCATGTACCGATTGTTGCGTAATTATTTCGCTTCCTATTGTACCCCATGCGTATTGTCTTGCGTAATAAGTGGGGGATGACAGGCAATTTCAAACCTTTTGCAAACAGTCCTTTTTAAAAGTGAATTGAGTAAATTATTTACAAGCCAAGTGACAAGCCGATTTCATAATTTTCCTGCAAAATCGATTTATCTGGAAACCAATGGATTTCCGAGTAAAACCCCAATGAACTTTTTTCTGGGTAATTAAATCCCCGAGAAAATCGGCCTTTTGACATTTTCCCCTAAAATCCCTAATAACCGATATTAATGTCAATTTATGAAGCAATCCAGTATTGCGAGGCCACCACCGACAGAACAACAACCGCAAAAACTCTTCCACATTTATTTAATTACAAAAATCAATAAATACATAATCTAAACTATAATTTCTTCTGATTTCTGAATTTGGATTCCTTGACATTGTCTTTAGGATTTAGTGACCTGTTATCAGCATTACGTGCCTCAGCATTATCATAATCAGGTTCCTCAGTGGTGGGTTGTTTAGCGATCCACTCAAGTGCTCTCTGAATAGCCGGAGGTATGGGTGGTGGTGTTGGCAAATGAGAGCCCGATACCTGGGTTCCAAATTCATCAGCAGTCCAACTGAGAGAAATGGGTGTACCATCAGGTGCATTATACTGAACCGATCCCTGAATGAGCTGAGCCTCATCAGGAGTCCCCTGATACTTCCTAGTGCCGATTTCCTGTTGCAATATTCCACCCTCAGTCTCATAAGCAACAGCATAAGTACCGAGAGTCCCAGTGAAATTCTTCGACTCGCTCTTCAACTTCTCCGGCTCCCGGAAGTACAAGTCCTGGCCAGTGGCAATACCCACGACAAGAGCAATAATCTAAAATAATTTCAGGTGGAGATAACTCCTGGTGATGAGGTTGTAACAATTGTACTTACTATAGTTCTCATCGTGATCGGTGAATAATTCGTTTGGATTAATGCAAATGCGATGGGAAAGTGCAACCCATATAAAAATATCACTGTGATGGTTGTCGGAGTGAAGTTCGCGAGCAACTCCTAGCCGGCGAGGATACAGCCGACCTTTATACCTGCGCCAACGCTCCAGACTCTAGCCTTTTACATAACCCGGGAAAGTACTATCTATTTCGGCTGTATATGTGGTATATAGAATACATACCCCAGTCGTCATCAGTCATCCCTCTTCCCTCCATTTATTCAACTTTAATAAATCTTAAAATTTTCATCACCAATAAACAATTCGTTACAACCTTTTTTTAGCAGTATTTGTTAATAAATCATTTAAACATTGGGCTTAATTTATTGAAGTTCATTTTTGTTAATATAATTTTATAGAAGCAACGATTATTTATTGTTACAACAAATGGCTTCAACACAGTGGAATAATTTTTTTTTTCTCAGTGCACCACTTGACTGGCAATTCAATCCCTCGTCACGTGGGTGCACCTTAATTAATAGAACTATTGATTATTGTAGACTCAATCGATATATTCACCGAGAAATGTCGAACGTGTATTATCCTATTAACTCCGTGGGAATTGAACGACTCTGATGGAAATGTAAAAGCCTTGGCCCATGATCCCAGTTCTATCGAGACTCCAGTCGGAGATAACACCATCAATCCTCAATACGATTCTGTTTACCTCACAAATATATTATATTCTATGGGGAATATATTATTATAGAGGCGCAACTCCGTGCATCGGCCTATCTATGGGATTTCCTTCAACATAAATTAATTTTCCGAGATTTTTATATTGATATTCATTTGGAATTGAATATTAAGAAAGGCAAATTAAATAATGAATATCGAAATTAATCCGATATATCGATATATTAAATATTTGTCGATTCGAAAAAATGAAGAAATCCTGAGATTCTGAGGATATTGTGTTCATATTTCCGGGACAACAATAAATATGTTTACATTATTATTATAAAATTATATTCATTATTAATTATTATAATTAATATCATTAATGGGTGATATATCAAAGTTTCGAAAATGCGGAAAACATTTAAAACACAATCTCAATTTTATTGCGCAATTGCAGCATTTAATCCTCATCTCATGTAAAATTTCTAAACAACAAATTCCTCCGAAATTTGGCCATGGAATTATTTATAATATTCAATAAACATCGATGACTCGTCGATTCGGATTATTGCCGATTGCAACAGTCCGTACTGCGTTAGACTTGAAAAAAAAAAAATCCATTCGAAAAAATCCTTGAAGAGACGAATCGTCCCCCAAAAAATCGGCGGACGATGTACCTAAAATTGATGGTATAAATTACCTATTGCGCAAAGTTTGAAAGTGATTCATACAAATGTACTCCTCAGGATATAACGGATATAATAAATCAAAGTGACAAGAACTTGGACGGCCATCTGTGAGGAAAGCATTAAAATGCCTCATCACATCTGCGGGTATCAAATTAAAAACGCGCTCCAAGTAAATTCCCCATAATTACTCTAATTATCAAAATTTATTTACAGCATCATTAAAAAAAAATTTACTAATCACCCCGATAAGTACAATTATAATTAATGAATTAATTGAAAAATTCCCATGGAAAAAAATTACGTCTTCAACATTTCAGCTGTTACAGGCGCGTCGCAACTTCGGAACATAAAAAAAAGAAAAAAAAATATGCATTTCAAAGGATTGCAAAACGGAGGAAAAATTAAACAAGTCGCAAATTGTCAATACAATTGCATAATTAAATAATAATGATTTTTCGAGTGAAAATGATAATGGAACGGGAGCGCGGAATCGCGACAGGTCTCTCTCTAAAAAAGCCGCGGGCATGATCCAGAGGTAGAACACGTAACATCAAGTAATCACAGTGGCTTTCGGTGGTGTTCGGCTCGTCTCGGCTCACAAGAGCTCCATTTACAACATACCCCTCCCCCCAATTATTATACTCAAAAGTTTTTCAACCAACATTACCGCTGCAAATAATTTCGACCGCCCGAGGGGTGCAACTGAATTCTCCGCGAGTGAATTTTCAATTTGCAATTTTTCCCTCGATCCTCGATGAGGATGAATAATCGATCTATCGACCTGGTGAATGTGTAGATCACCGGTGTCCCCTCCTTCCCTCTCCTCCCTCCCTCCTCTCGCGATCACTTGTTGGAAGATTATTTTTTTTTACCACTCGTGGAATCAAAAGTGTTACTCCACGTGTTTTATCGCCAGTACCGAGTGCTCATGTCGTGAAAATGGAATGACCACTCGCACAATTGTGCAATTTTTGGTATTTATTGAGGCTGTGTGACCGTGAAATTGTTGAATCGCGTCATGTCCGGTGATTGCTCAGTTGTAATGAGGAATTTGTGAATAGATAACCGACAAATGATAGCGAGTGATTATTCGTGTTGTGGAATGCAGGAAAATTCAAATCTGTTAGCGCGTCGAGACGCTCGTGTACACTTAGTTAATTGACCTACATACTCAATTATAAATTACGATCAAGAGTGAGACGATTTACTCGTTGCTGTTTCAACAGATTAATGGGAGATCGGGGGGGATCGGTTGACCGGCCCATGCATTCCTATCCATTTATTCTTCTTTTATTATTCATTTTTATTTGTTATTAATTGGATGAATTGATGAGGGAATTTGGAGGAATCGGGAGGGAGTGAGTGCAAGGGCTGAGATGGAGGGAGATTTTGGTGGAGTTGGGGGGATTGGTGAATCGGGAAAAGTGAATGTACCGATGAGATCGGTAATAATTAAAGGGAATAATGTCCGTAAAATGAGTACAATGACGGAAGAGGGATCTGAGGATGTGGAGAGGGAGGGGGTTAGTGACTCGATCTCAAATTCTGATGACAGCGATGACGAAGGGATGGGGAGGGGTAGACTGTTGAGCTCCGGAAGTGGAAAAATAGGGACGGAATCGGTAAGTGGATTGAAGAGATCGAGCTCAAGCAGCGAGAGCATTCGTGAGAAAACCGTCAAGCCATGTCCATCTACTTCATCGGCACCGTATCCTGGTGGGGTGCAACCCATTGATGGAATCGAGGGAGCGAAATTGTATCGAGATCACTCGGTACACGGGGGGAGATTGAGTCGGGGAATCGAACCTGGGGGTCGGTACAAGTACTCCAGCATGAGGTCGTTGAAGTCCAGTGTTGGTGATGAGCATCATCATCTTCAGCTGCAGAATGCGTATCAGGCGCAGGCTGGGGGGTGGGCTTCTATCGTTTTTCCTGAGGCACCTGGACAGGCCGCCAGACCTGTTGCCGGTTTTTCCGATTCTGTCTCCATCAGGTCGTTGGCGTCCATCGGGATGGGATCCTCTGATGGCAGGAAACTCACCATCCGGAGGGTTCCAACGTCTCCGTCGGAGTTACTCAATATGGTACATCCACCGACGTGAGTAATTCGTTTTTCTTTTTTTTTTTCTCATTTTGGAAATATTTTTAATTGGGAATTCCCGAGCCAGAGTGAGGGAATTGTTTTTAAACTCAAATTTTTTTCATTCGGATTGAGATTTCCCATTGTATTGAATATAATTTACAATTACAATCAATTTAATTTTATATATTATATATATTTATTTACAATTTGAATTGGAATGAAATTGAAAATTGAAATTGAAAAAAAAAAATTAAATTAAATCTCAGATAAAAATAGAAAAATCATTACCAGTATGAAAATAGAATAATTAAAACCCCCGAGGCAATTATTAACAAAATCCAATGAGCAGTGAAAAAAAAAGAGTTATTCATTGGTTTTTGCCTCTCGGTTGTAATAATAAAATAGATTATCCATCATTTCGAAAAATAGATCGGCCTTCGATGCGTTAGAATTGTCGCGTCAATTCAAATATGTATTTTGCCAGATGAATAGATTGAAATTCAATGCCTTTTCCGGATGAATACCAGTCGATCCACCACTGTCCCAGCGATCGCTTCAATTTTTTTCCTCTTATTTCGTCCTCAGGCCAGTCGATGACATGTCAACCTGCGACAGTTACGATGATGGAGTCGAGGAGGACTCGAGGGACTATCGCCAGCCAAAAAGGCCCCATTGGGCCAATAAAGTTCAATTCGTATTGGCATGCATCGGATATTCCGTGGGTCTTGGAAATGTCTGGAGATTTCCCTACCTCTGCTACAAGAGCGGTGGAGGCGAGTAACAAATAATTTATTAAATAAACAAAAAGAATATAAACTTCAAACTGAAATCAATAAATTATTCAAAATACCCATGTGATGCAATACGCAGCTGATTGCAAATATTGAATTGAGTAAATTTTAATTTTTTCTTATTATTTGAAATTTTTATTAATTAATCAAATATTTACTCCGAAAATTTTTCATCGTAAACAAATAGGTTTAGCATGTTTTACTGAATTATTTGTCTCGGTGATGTGATAAAATGCGTCAAATGAAAACGCGAGGTCCTTCCGACAAAATTTATCAGAGGAAGTAGACTCTTTTCTAATTCGTCCTAATCGACGCGTGCAATTGCAGTATATAACACTGTTAGGCTCGTTATTTAAACTATTCAAGGTCACATTGATGTTCCTTCATTTATTCACACCGTAAGGTACGAGGGGAATAATTATAAAGAGTCTGTAACTCGATAGATTGACACTTCTCATGTGTCCCAGCTCCTGGGGATGTTCTTCTCATCCAATGGATCCACGACCTTGACGTCGTGAATCAAGTTCCCGGGATTAATTAACACCGTGAATTGCGCAAGATTTTTATATAATTTCTCCCCATTAATTTCATAATCCACTCTCGCATCCGTAAATCAATCCGTTTTTTTTTTTTTTCGTTCCGGTTTTCCCGTTTTTTTCCGTTTTATCCCAGAATCGATTGATTTAATGGGAAAACGCAAAAGGACTTTTTTCTAGCCGATTAAACTTCCGATAAAAAAGATTCAGATAATTTTTTTGGGAAAATCGATGCTTTCGGAGATTGATTGATCGGCGATTTTGGGAAATCTGTGAAATTCGATTTATCGCGCACCGAGGCGAATCACTTTGGAATAAAAAAATGATCTCTCGATATTTTTCCCAGATCGATTGAAAGTATCTCTCTGTGATGTACCAACATGTGCCCTTGTCTGAGTAATAATCAATTAACTGGGGAAACTGGGGGATATTAACTTTCCGTGATGACCAGATGAGATTAATAAATTCCCTGTGGCGCTTGATAATTTTTTTAAACTCTCCGTTCGAGGTGAAACGAGGCGAAATCAGATGAATAGCCGTCACGAGGCACTCGTAGAACAAAAAGGAAATAATAACGCCTGGGGTATTGTTTATTCAACAATTGACAGGGATTGGGTTGTACCGATGACGTGTGATGGACGCAAGTCTCGGCCTTACGGAACTGGTCGCAAATGTTTGAGTAAATGAATCCGTCATCGAGTTAGTTTTGAGATTGTAATTAATTAAATTAAATTGACCTATTTTCAAGAGCACTCGCTGGATCCGCTTTGTTCAATGAATCTTTATCCCCCGATCGGCAATTATTCACATAAAAATAAAAAAAAATTGAAAATATTTCACGACCAAAGAGAAATATCAAAATGATCGTTATAACATTTTTTCAAGCCGACAATTAGCTCTTGAAAAAATTACATAACGAAAATTGGGCTATCTCCTTGAGATTCCGGGGTAGCAGGTGCACCCCATGGAAACACTGGGAGACAATAAAATTAATGTTAATTACCAGTTGAATTACTTGTAAAAACATTGGAGCGAATTGATGGGAAAATGCTTGCACCTTCCAGGAATAAATTTAATAAAATGTCATTTGGTTTCAGGTGTGTTCTTGGTGCCGTATTTTCTGATTCTAATTGTTTGCGGAGTTCCTCTGCTGTACATGGAACTTGCCATTGGACAATTTACGAGACGAGGGCCAATCGGTGCTCTAGGTCAAATATGCCCCCTATTCAAAGGTATTGTTCATAATAGGTAATGCATTGAGTATCGAGTGTGGAATAATGAATTGAAAAATAAAAATAATAAAAATTGGGGAATCAGGTGCCGGCTTGTCTTCTGTGGTGATATCATTCCTGATGTCCACTTACCACAATGTGATAATAGCCTACGCGATATATTACTTTTTTACGGCATTCAAGGCCGATCAGCCGTGGTCAGGTTGTGACAACTCCTGGAACACTCCAGCCTGCTGGACCCTCGACTCCAGTCACAATCGCATTCGTCTCAACACTTCGAGAACACCATCCGAGGAATTTTTCGAGTAAAATATTTTAATTTTCCCACTATCACTAGAATTAATTTAATTAGCACGATTCAGAAATTAAGGAATATTAATCATTCGATTTTTTCAAATATCTGATTAACCGGTTTCACTGATTATCGATTTATCTCAAGAAGTATCGATTTCCGGGGAAATGTTTGGGGGACTTTTTTGGGGGTGATTAAATTTCGGTGAGAAAAGGTCTTTTGATGTTTTTCTGGTAAATCAATGGTTTTGAGAGAATCGATAAGTCGACCACTTCGCTACTGATTTATTTAAAATACTCAGCAACAAGGTCCTGCAGATAAGTTCAGGAATTGAGGAGCCTGGAGTACTAAGATGGGAGATTGTCGCCTGTTTGGTGGCAGCGTGGGTGCTGGTGTACTTTTCCATATGGAAATCGATAAAGTCATCTGCACAAGTCAGATATCTAACAGCTACACTGCCATTTCTATTGATATTCGTCTTTCTGACGCGCTCCCTCACCCTGGAGGGTGCGGAAAAGGGACTGCAATTTTTTTTCCGACCCAGGTGGCATTTACTGGCTGATGCCAAGGTACTCCTGTGTGACTATTCCTAAAAAGTACTCCATGTATAAACCAGGAAGCCGATAAAACTCTCCATTTCGCCCATTCGTACGTTTTTAATCATTATCTGAGAATCCACAGCAGATATCGAAATTTCTCTCATAATATTTTTTGCGCCTCTCAATTAGCTCCACGAAAAAGGTCATGACGAAAATTCCGATATCAGCTCTAATTACCGAGATATTAATTAAAAACCGGCCAACACCGCAAACGACGAAATTACGTGAACAACGTCAGGTATTACCTCAGTTTTCTCGGAATATCTCCGGATCTAATGGAGATATCGATTTTCTTTTAATAATTTTTTTTTTCGCTCTCGATTCGCTCTGGAAAAAATGTTATTACCCACATTTCGCTATCTCCAATAGATCCAGAGATATTTATCGAAACGGTAGATAAGAGTTCAATCTAAATGAAGTGGAATGGTTTTACCGGTTTCCTCCGGTATTCAATGAACATCAATTGATATTTACAACTGAAAATTGAATTACAAATGATTATTTTTCCATAGGTTTGGGTCAACGCAGCTGCGCAAATATTTAACTCCGTCGGAATAGCATTCGGATCGATGATATGTTTCGCTAGTTACAATAAATTTCATAATAATATTCTTGTTGATACAGTGGCTGTGTCATTGATCAATGCATTCACTAGTCTTTTGGTCGGGATATTTGCATTTGCCACAATCGGAAATATTGCACAGGAGCAGAATATGTCGGTTGAAGCTGTCCTCACTGACGGTAACGCAAAAAAAAAGCTTACAAAATCTTTCTCTTTGATAAATTAATTTAATGAGATATTTTTTTCCAGGTCCCGGTCTCGTGTTCGTCGTTTATCCTCAGGCAATGGCGAAAATGCCAGCGTCACAATTGTGGGCTGTTCTATTTTTCTTCATGCTCGTTTGTCTCTCCCTCAACAGCCAAGTACGTCAATTACTCGAAACCCCGTTAAATTTAAAATATACCGGTTATTTAATTATTATTTTCAGTTCGCTATTGTCGAGGTTGTGGTCACATCCATTCAAGATGGCTTTCCAAACTGGGTGAAAAGTAATCTTCTTTGTCACGAAATGCTCGTTCTTATTATCTGCACTGTTTCCTTTCTGTTTGGTCTTCCTAACGTGTCGCAGGTGAATTTTTATCTCCCTTCAATTCAGAGAAAAAAAAAATTCAATTATCCCAAGTCCACTTCGCCACAGAATTCATAAATTAAAATAACCATTAATTACGATTATTGTTTCAGGGTGGAATATTTTTTTTTCAACTGATAGATCATTACGCAGCATCAATCTCAATAATGTTCCTCGCATTTTTCGAAGTAATCGCCATCTCCTGGTTCTACGGTGTCCGAAGGCTCTCGAATAACGTGAAAGAAATGACTGGTAGAATGCCTTCGCTATATTTCAGGTGGTGCTGGCTTGTGGCAGCTCCTCTCCTCATAATGGTACAAGATTATATGAATAAATAAAAAATATCCCCTCAATTAATTTGGCGAATAATTGAATGACTTTAATTACGATGAACCGCTGATGATTTTTATTATTTAGGCAGTGTGGGTGTTTAGTCTAATCGATTACGAGCCACCTACATACGGAAATGGAGTGTATAAGTATCCCCTGTGGGCAGAAGCACTTGGATGGGGAATAGCATCGCTATCCCTCATTTGCATTCCAGCATTCGCTGTCTACGTTCTCATTCGCTCCGATGGCATCACTTTTCCTGAGGTATTGGAAAAATAATTCCAGACTATTCCAAAATACTCTCTCTTTCAAGAGAGCTATAAATCCCATTAATCAAGTGCCAGGTCGAAGTGACTCGAGTGCTCAATTGAATTTTTCAGAAACTTCGAAATGCAGTTAGGCCTCACTTCGAGGCCTGCAAACTCTGCGGTGAGGAATACTGCACTGAGCCACTCCACAGCATGGATGAGGACGTCCTCAAGGAGCCTCTCCACGAAATGAATAGTCTGATTCACCCGAATCCAGTGAATTTCATCCCAATCAAATCTCAAATGTAATCCACAATACATCAAATAAATTATTTAATCATACACCGATTTTTCTATTTATTCATCAGCCAATAAAAAAATTTTCTAAAAATGTAAAAATTATGAGAAAAGATATCGAAAAAAAAAAAAAATGGAAGGACCAATATCTAGTGATTACCACCATTTGAATTTAATCGAACGCTCCAACAAAAGGGACTCTTGTTTCAATAGGGAGTAAACGTTAACAGAGTTACCTGTTGGGGGATGGTTTTTAGGGGTAGAGGGTGGAAGGGCTGGTCTACAATGGGGGTTGCGCGCTAGAGAAATTTCTCCCTCTATGGCGTATTGGGGGCTACTGTACTGTGAGGTAGATACCAACATTCAGTACACGATCGTACGTGCTAGCAATCTCAGCTGCCTAATGAAAATTTCAAATAATCAAATTGAAATCGTGCAATTCAGTGACGACTACACCCATCACACCGATAAATTCATTTTTTTAAACGCATAATTACCGAAATTTTTAATTCACCGTGGATTATAGACTCGTTGCGCAATTGTTGATGAAGTTGATACGATTTTTTTGAGGCCGTGATAACAATTCATTGTGAGAGTTTCGAATAAGCACGACTACTTGTTGCTTTCAGGCACGTGCGGAAACAATCTGTTGAATAGTGGGAAATACTTGAGTTTGTTTTTCTCTCCATTTGTTCAGGTGAGAGTAAGTTGTACTCGAATTGAGTCCGACCGACTCATGATTTTTTATCAGTTTATCTTACAGCGAGGGATATAGTATGCATTTTTTTCAAGATATTATTTCTTTTAATCAAATAAATGAATTTACTGATTTGAAAAAATTAGTAATTGATTGGTATTGCTATAATTATTTTATAATTCCACCAGATTTATTCATGAGACTGTAGAAAAAATGCGGGTGTACGTGAGTCGAATCGAATTTATAATTTTTTATTATTGCATCCGCATATTTGATTCAAATAAATTATTTATATCGATCTAGCCCTTAATCTAGGTTTCTACCATAGATCCTATTCCGCTAATAAATCATTAAATCAAATTAGAATCAATCCGGATTAATGAAAATCCTTAGTCCGGATTGATTCAGTACAAATCCTGTAAAATCCCCCGAGGAAGACGAGCCAAATGATTTTTCCCCCAATTGTCATTCGGACTGATGAATTTTGCCGTGACGAAGCACCAGAATATCATGGATTTCCCATAGCTGGAATGCAGTGGAGATAAAAGTGCAAGGGGATGAGGGTGTAGGGTCAGGGACGATCGAGACATGTTCAATAATAAAACTGGCGTACACGTTTCATGGAAAATAAAGGGGGGAAGAGAAAAAAAAAAGAAAAAAAATTACCTCGTGGATTATATATTTTTTTTACTCTGTCATATTGAACGTGTCATCCCAGCAGAGTGGATCGTTGACGCAGCGATGATGGCATGTCAAGAAAGCGCTTAACTACGATTAAATGAATCGTAATAGAGGCCTGTTGGATGCTGGGTATTATGTGAAGCTAAAAAGAATCTCATTGACGTGTCTTCCGCTTTTTATGAGGCTAACACGAAATTTTATTTCAATTAGAGCTCAAGAGCTTGCACTGTGGGGTTGAAATTGTTGGTGTAAATTTTTCGAATGACTGAGACAAATGTTGAATATTATCTCCTTGGTACAGGGTAGGATGTCACCCCATAACGGCACTTGCATGGCAGAATCCAGTTCACTTCGTAGTTTATCATCTGACGATGTGTCAGCAACAAAATCCAGGAACAAATCGTGTTGGGCCCGTGCAACCGATCCAGCTCATCGACGTGGCAGACGTATCCAATTGCTACAAATGCTTGTATTACCATTTATACCGATACTCGCTTTAATTGTACAAACGGCTAATACTCTTCATGACATTCTTATTTATCGACAAGAAGTCTCCGACATCGAGACACAGGTAAATTGTCAAGATGTACACTTTACATTACGATTTTCCGCACAAGGTCTTTTCATATTTCCTTTTGAAACCAATTTCCACTGTTTTTAATTGTTCTTCTAGATCGATCAATGAAAATAATGAATTAATAATTAGAGAGAGTTCATTATTAAATTTCCATACATCTAGCGGTAGGATAGCGGCAGGAGTAGATACTATTAATTGAGCTATTGAAGAGAAATAGTGCCGTCATCCCCTTTTCTCAAGACTCGTCGTTACACTTTCATAAAAAAAGTAGATGTGTACCTTCTCCCTTTTTTTTTATGTACGATCGATCAAATGAGTTATATGCCGTCGAGTGGAATGAGTGTCGTACAAATATGTATAAACGCACCCATGTACCCTTTTATTATACCTCTCGAGGAAAAGAATAAAAAAAACCAATGTACACAACATCGTTTCAATGCACTCGACCAGTACAAACGATTATTCCACGTAAACCCAAATGCCTTGGGTAATGACACTTTGTTTATAAATTTTTTATGAGATATAATAATAAATAATAGGTGACCATTGCTACCGATCTTGGGGTTGTCGTCACACGTCTGCAGCTCGAGCGATCTGAAGTCGCTTTTTTTATCTACACCAATCACAGCAAAATGAGGTGTGTTATTATAATTAAATTGACAATCTCTCATTCTCAGTTATTTACTACTTAAAAGTGGAATGAACTGCCGTTTATGCAGCAGTAACGATTTTTTAAATCAATTAATGGTAATCGGAGAATTGAAAAAATAAAAATATTCCTCTGTCTTTTACAAGATTTTTCTAGATATTCTCGAATTCGAAAATTGAGAGGAAATGTTTTTAAAAAATTGGTGATGGGAGATGAGAACAAAGGGCTGTCCTCGATTTTTTTCACCGTGTCTGCCGATATCGAGGATGCGGGTACAATCGAGGAGTCTATCGGGGACAATGTCGACACCCCATTTCCTTTGAAAAAATTCGAACTAGATAAAGATAAATGTAAACAACTGACAAGACGATATTCACTGAATAATTGGGTAATTTGAAAGGAAAAATGGAATGTTAAAGAGCAACTCGGTAAAACCGAGCGGAAATTCAATTTTTTTTTCAGCATCCGGTATATCTCGAGAACCATCTATTTTCCGTGAAAACATCACAGAATATTTTTTATTCATCATCAAATTCTCCAAAATAAAGTTTTTATCACATTTTCTCTCAAACCCAACAGATTTCCAATAAATCGATATTCAACTGACGTCGTCCTGAATTTTTTGATTCTCCGTGACACCCGCACGGAATAATTTTCATTTCCTCCACTTGGCTTTTAAACAATTATTTTTATTACCATATAAATATTGAAAAGGCCTTGTTTAAACAATTTTCCACTGATGATACAGCGATCAGTACGATTTCCGGAGGTTGAACCTGACCCAGAGATACGCAACGACCGACGAAACGTTGAGGAACCTGACGACGTGGCCCCTGGTGACAGTTCCAACGGACGAGGCCAAGACCCAGACCTACGACGTCGTCAATCGAGAGGCTTTTCAAGCTCGACTCGACGACTTCAGGTAAATTCCACTCGGAATTCTTTTTCGCCTGAGCTTTTCGGTGCGGATGGCTATTGATCGAGTGAATGAGGTATCGACATATTTTTTTTTTTTACAAACCATCAATCACTCAATGACCAATATAGCCACTCAGGTTGGCGTAATAAATTCGCTCAAAGCAGAGCATCTGGGGTGGTGGTCGCCTCATGGATGACCGCACCACCGATCATTTAGAGTACCTAAATGTTATGTATACATATGTGCAGGTGTAAATGGAGTCCTAATCAACTCCATCACTTTTATATCACCGGTCACTCCATTGTCATCGACACTCCCAAAATCTCCCTCGAATTCTTTCATTCAGAAATTTAAAAAATAAATAAATAATGCCATCAGCGAAATTCCTCAACCTTTCAGGCAAAAAATAAACGAAGAGAGTAGTATATCCGAGGTGATGACTTGGTACGAGAACGTCAACGCAGAAATGCTGAATATCCTGACGAATCAGATTAAAGAGACTGACAACAGCGGAGTCTGGAGGTACCTTTATACTGTACTAAGGAGAAATAATAATTCTGCTGATTAAACAAAGTCAAATCCCTGAGTAAATAAATTTGGATGGCAGAATAAATTTTCTCCTCAGTTCTAAAATATTTTTCCCACTATTCATAGGGTATTTATTGCAGATATTTAATCGCCTTTAAGAATTTGTTACGGAGCATCGAGAGCATCGGCATTTCCTCGGTTTATGGAATAAATTATTTCGGTCGGGGAATTCTCCTGAAGGAGAGTTACGTTAGCTATATCAGACACGAGGCACTTGGAAGGGATTTACTTAATGGATCACTCTCCTATGTACCACATCTCAAGGAATTGTACATTGAACTCACAAGGACAATGCCTGATTACGGCAAGATGAAGTCAAGGCAATTACCCCACAATTTCAGCGATAAACACGCAATTAACATTTTAAATTTTTTTTGCGAAGTGGTAAACTAAGATAATATCTCGGAAATGAAGGCAGATAGCGATTTTCTCACAGATATCTTTTTTGTAGTTCTCATCTTTTTTTATAAATAATATTTACATGAAAAATTCTTTACGGTCCCACAGCTCGGAGATATTGCGCAAAAATCGGCCTCGAAAAAAATTCAATTATCGTAATTCATCACTTCGCTACAAATTTCCTCTCAATAATCTGAAAAACCATCACATTACCGTCAAAACGTCAAATAACTTTTTTTTCGGTCGCTCAATTTTCCAGAAAAACGATCTTTTGATATTTTTTCCTACAACCAAAAGTTTCCCAGATAAATCGATATTTTAAAGGTGTCAAAAACTCAATTTCCCGAATGAGAAAATTCCTGCGCTTTTTTTTCCCTTTCGAAGAGAAAATTAAATTAAAAAATTTTTTAAAATTCTCCTGAAATATCAAATACTTACCTTTACCTGTAAATTTTTTTTACACTCCCGAGTCGACTGAAAAAACGACAAAACAATCAATTAATCGAAATTTCGATCTCAGACGAGACGAGATTTTACGTAATCTCTCCCGGAAGCCGAGCGTCGCCGACGCAATTGCTTATTTCGATTCCATGGCGATGTACGTCGACGAGCTCAGAAAAATTCAAACAGAGTTGCGTCACATGATACGGTAACTTGTAGATTAACGCTAGTCCTTCATTTAGTAATCGCAAATAATTTCGAAGTAACGAGAGACTTGAATCATCGCCAGGGAGAACGTCAACTCGACGCTCCAGGAGGCGAGCAACAGACAGGTAGCCGGAATAGCCATCGTAGCCCTGGTCCTGGTAATATCTCCAATCATCATAATTCTGGTTCGAAATGCTGTCGCAACGATTCAGGTGGGAGTGATTAACGAATGATCCCGTAAAGGATTAATCATGATGGGTGAATTTATCGCAGGTTTACGCTGCCAACCTGGCCCAAAAGGCGAGGGAATTGAAGCGCGAGAAGAGGAAGAGTGACACCCTCTTATTCCAGATGCTACCACCATCAGTAGCTCAACAACTCAAGCAGACGCAGCAGGTTGAAATGCGTATGCCCGTCAAACAATTAATGCCGAATAATAAACAATCGATATCCAACGAAAGTATTTTTGTCTTTTTAAGGTACCTGCTGAGTACTACGAGGCTGTCACCGTATATTTCAGTGATATCGTTGGATTCGTCGAGATCGCTGCTGAAAATACACCCCTAGAGGTAATTTCAGCAATCCGAATCCAATTTATTTAATCGGTTTATAATTGGAAAATTATTTTGGAGGTCGTGACGTTCCTCAATTCGATTTATAAACTCTTCGATGCGAGGATCGAGTGCTATGATGTGTACAAAGTCGAGACCATTGGGGATTCCTACATGGTGGCCTCAGGATTGCCAGTGAGAAATGGTAAATTATTCTTGTCCATCCTAAAATTGAGTTCACGTCGGAATATCACTGTTTCAGGGGATAAGCACGTGTCCGAGATCGCGACGATGGCCCTCGATCTCCTCGCTGCCTCCTCGATTTTTCAAGTTCCTAAGAGACCTGGGGAGCGGCTGCAAATTCGCAGTGGTGCACACACAGGGCCGGTGGTTGCGGGAATTGTTGGCACGAAGATGCCACGGTATTGCCTCTTCGGGGATACCGTTAACACTGCGAGTAGAATGGAATCCACTGGAGAAGGTAGCACATTGGGCAATTGAAAATTGAATTTCATCCTCTCCACCCCCTCAGAACCATCAAAACCATTTAAACAATAAATAAATAAATTTCAGCGTTGCGAATCCATATAAGTTTGGAGATGAAGAAGGCCCTGGAGGCAGTTGGGGGTTTCAAGATCATGCACCGAGGGCTGGTGGACGTGAAAGTAATGAAATGAATAAAGGGCCCGAAAATAGCAAATCAAAATGAATTGCCTTGTGCTTTCAGGGTAAAGGCCTGATGGACACCTACTGGCTGGAGTGTAAAGACGGTGGAATTGCCCGAGCAACGGAGCTTGACCTGCCGACATTTTTCGAGGACGTTCGTCCAGTGTTCATGCGTCGTCTCCGTGAGGAAGAGTCACTCTGATGTGAGCCATACTCCCGTCGGGACCTATGGTACCTAAACCGACAGGGGCCACTCCGTCCGAACCCTTGCATCCGCCTGTCCCAGCCGAATCTCATCGATCACCTCAAACGACCAAGTCTCACACCGGGAAATCCCAAGAAGACACGCCTCTCCCAACCGAATCTCCACATAAACCCAGTGAAACCCCCAGTCCCCCTGTCCCAATCCTCGATAGACTCCCAGGACTCAAACATCACCGAGAATACAAGATCGACAACACCACTGCCTCCCAGCTATTCACCAGCTAGTCAGAGATCTCGTTACTCCCAGCCCAATCTTCCCACCCTCATGATTCCATACAGCAATGACAATTCAAGGTCCAGTGCATCGCCAGACAGGCGATACAGAATGTCCCAGCCAACGCTCAATTCCAGTTTCTCTGGTTTCAATTTCGTCGGCTCGAAATTCTCGTACAACAGTCTACGTACGTCGGGTGATGTCTCGATTAATTATCAGGTCAAGGAGAACAGACTGTCGACGCCGAACGTTCATTCTTACGTGGAGGGGATGAATGTTGGGAGGAAATTGAGTGGTCATCATGGATCACCCTCGAGATTGGCCTTCGGGCCGGCCACCAAGAGGGAAAGACTCTCACAACCGACATTGATCACTGGGGATTATTACCCAGGTGATAATTTATCATCAAGTCATTACCAATTGTTGCCAGAATGATTAATTAAACGATTATTCTATCCCCAGGAAAAGTTCACCACCAGAGGCTGTCGTATCCCTGCCTCTCCACCTGGAACGAACGTCCGACGAATTTGCATTCCCCGATAAAACAGAAACGTTTTGGCCCGTCAAAAGTAAAAGTGAGTCAACGAGATCGACTCTCTGCCCTGGACTTTGGCTCCAAGTACAAGCCAAAGGACACAAAAATTCGTGACCGATTTTCGATACCAGAGTTGGAGAGTCAGAACGAATTGAAATTGATAGCTGGCACACCGAAGCAGAGGTTCAGCCTCGACAGCCAGTTGAATCCTGATGGTACGAGAGCAAGACGCCTGCTACCTTCGCCCATATCCGAGCACCAGACAAAGGACGAGAAGAGTATTGCCCCGAGTGATGGATTAGAGGGGGTCATCATCGCCTCGACAACACCTCTCCTGCCGTCATCCGAGAGGCAATTTCTCGTGCCCATATTTAACAGTAAACCCCTGCCAGCACCACCACCTACACCAGTAGTTTCTCGAGAGAGAATGTCAGTACCGGAGATCAGGAACTCCAGCTTGAGGAGACTTCTGGATCCTCCTGGCAGACAGAGACACAGTATTTCAGCATTTCGTCAGAGTCTCATGAGCATAGAGAAGAGTCCAGAGGGGAACGAGGCAAAATCCGAGATTATCGATCCACAAGAGGAGAAAATCGAGAGGAAGAGCATCTCCGTGGAGCCCCCAGTGCTCGAGGCCGACGAGACAAAGGTCAAACCCATGCCTAAACACATCCAGAAACATTATTCATACACCTATGATACCAAGGAAGATGCAAGACAGGTGATTGGAAAACTCATGGCTGGAAAACCCAGGAAAAAATATCTCGAGAGCAATTTCGATGAGAACGAGCAAGTCATCACAACCGTTATCGAGACTGAGATACCCATGATTCTCAGTAGTCCCAAGTACATGAAGAAGACTCATGTTTACTCCAGCGAGCCACCCAAATGGATGAAGAAGTGTCTCGAGGGGGATAAAAAAGTCGAGGAGACGTTGAAAATTAATCAGAAAAATCGAACATCCCCTGGGAAAAAGACATCACCGGGCTCCACGTCGCCCGGAAAGAAAATTAAAAAAGAGGGAAAAGAGGAAAAGGATAAAAAATACTTGTCGCAGGTTAAAGATACGACGATTCGAATGAAATCGACGAGAAATCTTGGGGAAAATAAATACGAAGTCGCTGTTAGTTCTAATATATCTGAAACTGATATCTGCAGGCTTTATGGTATTGAGTGTGAGTCTGAGAGTGAAGATTCAACGTCTGTTTAAATTAATTTTATTAGGTTTTACTTCTGTCTGCAGTGGAGTAATTATTCCAGTGGTGGAGGGATAAAGTACAACACTTCGATAATAAATTTTTCAGGAATATCTCGTGATATAATGAAATTCTTATCAGGATAGTTTTTGTAGGTCTGTTTTCCCTCCGCAAAAAAGGTCCTGATAAAAAATGAAATACATCCATTGGATCCTGAGATATCTCGAAAAAAAACGGGATGTGTTGTCCCTCAATTAATCGCTACTGACATTTTCTTTGTAGAATAAAGAAAATAATTACTCTCTCGCATGGCACAAACATGGAATTTTTATCGTGTAATGTTGGTCATTCCGAGTGATAAAAACTGTATAAAAATACACTTTCTAGATGAAAGAGATATACAACATATATATATATATATATTATATATTATAAAATAAATTGAGAGAATAAACAAATCGGCCAGCGGATTATCAATGGGCAATACAAATACTACTATTTTTATCTCAAATTACTTCAAGGCCATATTTCAACAGCAATTATGTTTTTTAAGTACCACTTTTTTTGTACTCCCAATTATTTATAATATTTTTTATATTTTGGGTATTTGTTCATCGAAGATGTTGCCTACCGTTGACGCCAGCATCGATAATATTAACAGACGGTGGCACAACGTGAACTATTTGATCACCCTCTCTGATAAACGATGGGACGGATACGTCTGGTCTCACTTCGACCCTCAATACTCGACTTTTGTTTCCAATCATGCATTTAAATCGTGTGTCGACTGTCACCATCAGATCACTCCCTCTCAGCCTGAATTAAATAATTAATATTATCAACACATGAATAAATAAATAAATATCATTTTTTATCATCACAATATCCACGTCGAATAATATCAGCTCCTCTATAAATTCACGTATAATTCTTCGAATATTGAAATAAATTCAATTGATAAAGGTGAAGGGGTCTTATCTCCTTCTGAAAATCTCAGAATATCTCTGAATAGGTGAATATTTATTTTGGAATAGTACGAGCAGAATATTTCCACGAGAATATGATGACCGAATTATTTAGTACGTACTGATAATATCTCGTACACAATACGCCAACGACCTCTCCCACTCTGTTATCCTTAGCTGTGATGGTGAAAATAAAATCATTTCCTCTATTCGAATGAATCGTGACAAGCTGATCCCTCCCTGGTGACACACTGATGCCAGTTATTTCTGTGATGGGAATGCCTTTTTTCATAGTCTTAAATTTCGAACTCTCCATTTTGTATATCGCGTGCTCGGTTATAACGAGAACGCGATCCGCTTGTTTGTCAAATCTGAAGATAAACATAAATAATTTCATTGATTGTATATTAATGTACCTCATCGATATTTACTTGTTTGTCTTCCTGATGAAGGCACTGAATAAAACTGTTTTAAAGTGATCAGAATTTTTTAAATTATTGATTGACGAGTTGAAAATATCGTAGTGATTATTTTCGTCGGGCCTCGAGAGATAATTGCCCTCCCACCGTCTTTCCTGTCCCCAGTGCTGCCTCTTGGGCCTGAGAACTGCGCCCGCAGCCATCTGCAACAATAAAAAAAAAATAATACAAGCATAAAAAAATAAAAATTACATTATCTCATCCAAAGTGACCAGTTGGCAGAATAATCAGAGAATAACTGGTACCTTGAGCCTCAACTGCGGCCACTCCTCCCTGGGAATTTTCCTCAGGATCATCCAAGCATACCACCTGGCAAACATCATCCTCAGGGCATTCACCACATGCCTAACAGCAAAATTTTCGTGTGGCCACTGCAAATTTTTCCCATACTTGGGCATACTCTTGGCATCCCTGAATATTCTCTCCAACTCACAGATATACCGACGCCTCTTCATCCTCCTGTAATGCTCCATCATGACAATCGCTGCCTTCATTTTCCTATACTCCCTCCGGCAGATGTATCCCCGCCACTGTTTCTGCAGGAGTACGACAATCCCAGGTATCAAATCGCTTCTAGCCTTCTCCAGGGCAAACAGAGTCTTCGGCGATCGTATGAATACCTTGGTGCGTCCATACTTAACGTCATGTGCAAATCCCTTCTCCTCGAGTAGTGTTCTCACCCCATCCTCGTCACTACCCCCTCGATAATTCGGCCACGTGTACTGAGATATCATTTTGTATCTCTTGAGAAATTTGTCGTACCTCTGTCTGTACACGAAACCAGCCCTCCTCACCAGAATATTCTCGAGGAGGCCGAGGTATCGCACCTGGTGCTCAACCCTCTCCTCGTCGAACAGCACTGGGGATTTAACTTCATTGGGTTTAATGCAGCGCACGTAGAAGGGCTCTTTGCTGGTTAAATTCTTCACCAGAGCAATCATTGAATTTCGAAATAGAGTGCCAGCTGTGAGGGGTCTCTTGGTGGTTTTCGTGATGGCCTCAGAACCCTCTGGCCACATCTCACTTATTATTCTACTGCTACTACTGTACATCAGACGTTTGAAGTCCTGGAAGAGCGTATCCTTATTTTTATTGAGAAAACCGTTTATGTCGTACACAACGTCACCAGCGTAATGCTTTATTCGGAATTGTTTTCTGTGCTCCAGCTGCTTGTCCATTGGACTCAGCTGACGGGATGTGTAGTGCTTGTGATTTGATAGCTTCTTGTCCATCGCCTCCAGCAGCATCTCATCAGTAATCTTTCCGACGTTCAAACATGCTTCATCCATTATCGCTAATATTCCCTTGTGGTTCTGCTCCACGAGATCGCAAATAATTTGATTATTGAAATACTCAATGGCCTGCCAAGCAATCCCCTCCCTCTGGTACTCCTCTTGTTCGCGTTTCAGTACTAATTCTATGAACAACTGCTGCAATTTCTCGTTGCAATAATTGATGCAGAATTGCTCGAAGCTATTCACCTCGAATATCTCAAAGCCGTAAATATCCAAAACACCGATTACCGTGCCCCGGTATCGTTTGTAGAATGTGTCATCGTCGTGAACGTTTATACACGCGTTTATTCGTGACACTATCCACGAAAAAAGTCTATCGTATATTGCCTAAAGAAGAGAAATAATCACTGGAGTTAAATAATTTTCTGGAAAAGCAATTCAGAAAAAAATCGTTAAGCAATCTGGATCGTAAAAAATAAAATACTTTAGCCAGAGCGTCTCGCCCATATTCGGCCTCCATGAGTCCATGAATCTTCTGCATGACCTCACCCCCAGCTGCAATGACCCTCTCTGAGAGAGCCCTCCCCAGCTCATTACTCTGAATCCCAAAGAGTTTCGCAGCATCACTCAAAGCCTTTTTATTCTCAATCACCAATTTATCATCCTCCAGAGTGAACCTCACGTTGCCCAAATGCAAAATCCCCGAGACAACGTTCCAGAGGGTTTTAACGTCATCCGGAGAAAACCTCAGGGTGCTCAGAGCAGAATTCACTGCTTTATATTCACTCCTGTCTGTTGTTATATTTTTTCCATGACTAATATAGTAATAGGCACTCGGATCCGAGACTAAACCCCGAGAGTTCAATTCCATTTCACTACAGCCGTTCAATAACTAAAATTAATAATTCCTCATTAACTATTGAATTCATAATTAATTAATTGAATTGATCAAGGCAGAGATTCAGGGATTGAAGAATTCAGACCTGATAAAAGCAGTGAAAATTTCGCTCTCCTTTCTGCTGATAAACGACCCTAGATTTTTCGAGGAGATAATTCGTGACATGACCCCCAACAGGATCACCCTTGAAGTCAAAATTAATGTCCATGTACTTTCCAAATCTCGATGAATTGTCATTTCTGTTGGTCTTGGCATTTCCAAATGCCTCAAGAATGGAATTAGATTGTATAAGTACATTTTTCACCCTAAAATGTATATTTATAATAACGACTAATTGCACAAATCATCCAATTGTCTAAACAATTAAACAAGAAAAACCTCTCAATCTCCTGCTGTCCGGATAAATTAGTGATTGCAGCTATGTACTTCATTATGATTTTACTGGCCTCGGTTTTGCCAGAACCAGACTCTCCACTTATGACAATGCATGTGTCACGACCTTGTTGTTTCATTTCGCGATGGACAGCATCGGCTATCGCGAATATGTGAGGTGGATTTTCAAACAGCTCTCGCCCTGAAGATGATTTATGATGAATTTAAATATCTCGATGGATAAATATTCATTAAAATCCTTCGATGAAGGATTTCATTATTTTATTTACCTTTGTATTTATTTATTTGATCGGTTTCATACTCGTGAGTTGTCCTGTACGGATTTACACTGACGCACACCTCGCCGATGTACGTGTAAAATTTACCCCCCGAAAATCTAGAGAAAATTTTAAATAACGCATTTATTATTATTTATTGATTCATTATTTTTTATTATTCGTTATTTCATTGTTGTAGGGGAATTTTTCGTGTGAAAAATTGTTGTATAACTTGAAAAATGAGAATATATCGGCAGTAATTACTCAACATTTCTAGATAGTTAATTAATAATAATTATCGAGTGCCAATTCGATTGTAACAAATGATGAAAAAAATATACGATAAGAAAATAAAAGATAATCATCAGGCTTTTGCCTACTTTTAATTAATCCCGATTTCTCGCCGATAAAATAAAAATCCATTTGTTATCAGTGACTTATTACCGCACTGATGACTCATCACGTTGATAAACCTTATCTCGAAAGGTTGTTTGTCGCAGGAAGCGACAAAATCCGATAGAAAATGGGAAAAAAAAAAGAAGCCGTGCCCTAGAACCGAGACAGTGAATCAACATCATGATGTCAGAGTTCGATACATTCTCATTGCTCCATTGAGAGAAAAAAAATGCATAATAAAAGATGAGTAAACAAGCAAGACAGTCCCTGAGTGACTCACGAGATGCTTTTCCCAGAAATGTTTAAATCATTAGGACACGGATAAAAGTGGAACAGTGATGCAAGAGATTTAAATTTTAAGAAGATAATTCATTCGTAATTCACCACGCCTTTCCCATTATCGACAATTCCATTGGACAATTGCAGCCTATCGAGTGATTAAACCAGTGCTAGAAAAAAATTTGAATCTTTTCCTTGGCTTGAGCCCTAAAGAAATAAAAATGAATGCAAAACCTGGAGAATAATTCTCAGAGACTCTCCCAAAAGCCAAATAAATAAAAATAAAAGTGCACACAACAAAATAAAAAAAAAACAGCTGACAAGTGTTGCTGTCGATACAGTTAATCGAACTGTTGTTTCTTAGTAAACAATAAACAAATGGATTAAATGATCATGAACTCGTTTTCCGCATTTGCAAAAAAGCCCAGAGAAATGCCTCGAACGAAAAAATAAAAATTATTGAAATAAACCATTGAGTTCTGACCTTGTTCTGAGATTTTTCACGACATTTTCGATGGTGATTTCATCGAGAAGAACAAAATCTCCGATTCCGACCTCTGGATGCGCTGCCATTGTCACTGAAGCCCCTCAAATCCTTTTTTTTTGAATATACAAAATGTGGAACACTTGTTGACACGAGAGCAGAAAAAAAAAGGAATGATTATCAGGGGAGAATTAACGGTTGCATTTGACTTTCAATGTGCATGTGTGCCACCTGGCTGACTCACGTCGGCACCCTGGAGTTCTGTTTATCACTTTTACACACACGTTACCGAGGTATTACACTATTGCAGGGATTATTCACGTATGTGCATCCAGAGAGACTGACTAAAGCAGAGGGTCAGTTCAGGGCGTTTGAGTGACCCCAGCTGCATCGTAGTACTGCACCCCAAGCGAGGGAGGGCGCCACACCCAATGCTGGGGTGTTTTTTTTTTAACCAAGTTTTTATTGCAATGCTGGGGTGTCCATCGAGTCG